CTTGGCCGTGCTCCTTGCTCTCCCTCTGGTGGTCCGTTTTGGCCGCTCAGCAGCCCGAATCCTTCAAAACGGACCTCGCCAGCTTGCTATGCTGGGCTGTGCTCCTTGCTCTCCCTCTCATGGTCCGTTTTGGCCGCTCAGCAGCCCAAATCCGTCAAAACGGTCCTCGCCTGCTTGGTCTGCTTGGCTGGGCTCCTCTGGTGGTCCGTTTTGGCCGCTCAGCAGCCCAAATCCTCCAAAACGACCTCGCCAGCTTGCTATGCTGGGCCGTGCTCCTTGCCTTCCCTCTGGTGGTCCGTTTTGGCCGCTCAGCAGCCCAAATCCTCCAAAACGGACCTCGCCAGCTTGCTATGCTGGGCCGTGCTCCTTGCTCTCCCGCTGGTGGTCCAGTTTGGCCGCTCAGCAGCCCAAATCCGTCAAAACGGTCCTCGCCTGCTTGGCCTGCTTGGCTGGGCTCCTCTGGTGGTCCGTTTTGGCTGCTCAGCAGCCCAAATCTTCCAAAACGGACCTCGCCTGCTTGGTCTGCTTGGCTTGGCTGTGCTCCTTGCTCTCCCTCTCATGGTCCGTTTTGGCCGCTCAGCAGCCCAAATCCGTCAAAGCGGACCTTGCCAGCTTGCTATGCTTGGCTGTGCTCCTTGCTCCCGCTGGTGGTCCGTTTTTGTCGCTCAGCAGCCCAAATCCTCCAAAACGGACCTCGCCAGCTTGGTGAGGTTGGCTGTGCTCCTGCCCAAATCCTCCAAAACGGACCTCGCCAGCTTCGTCTGCTTGGCTGGGCTGCTTGCTCTCCCTCTCGTGCTCCGTTTTGTCCGCTGAGCGGCCCAAATCTTCCAAAACGGACCTCGCCAGCTTCGTCTGCTTGGCTGTGCTCCTTGCTCTCCCTCTGGTGGTCCGTTTTGGCCGCTCAGCAGCCCGAATCCTTCAAAACGGACCTCGCCAGCTTGCTATGCTTGGCTGTGCTTTTTGTTTTCCCTCTCATGGTCCGTTTTGGCCGCTCAGCAGCCCAAATCCGTCAAAACGGTCCTCGCCTGCTTGGTCTGCTTGGCTGGGCTCCTCTGGTGGTCCGTTTTGGCCGCTCAGCAGCCCAAATCCTCCAAAACGGACCTCGCCAGCTTGCTATGCTTGGCGGTGCTCCTTGCTCCCGCTGGTGGTCCGTTTTTGTCGCTCAGCAGCCCAAATCCTCCAAATGGCGAGGTCCGTTTTGGAGGATTTGGGCTGCTGAGCGGCCAAAACGGACCACCAGAGGAGCCCAGCCAAGCAGGCCAAGCAGGCGAGGACCGTTTTGACGGATTTGGGCTGCTGAGCGGCCAAAACGGACCATGAGAGGGAGAACAAGGAGCACAGCCAAGCAAGCTGGCGAGGTCCGTTTTGAAGGATTCGGGCTGCTGAGCGGCCAAAACGGACCACCAGAGGGAGAGCAGGGGGGACAGCCAAGCAGACCAAGCTGGCGAGGTCCGTTTTGGAAGATTTGAGCTGCTGAGCGGCCAAAACGGACCACCAGAGGAGCCAGCCAAGCAGTCATACCGATTTTCTGCCAAGATTTGCAGATCATTTCCTGTATACCGGGGATGTCTAGCTCAGTCGGCAGAGGGCAAGGCCCTTAACCTGAAGATCGAAGGTTCGAAGCCGGCTAGCCACATCCACCGGTTGTTGGGAAGGTCCGTTTTGAAGGATTTGGGCTTCTGAGCGGCCAAAACGGACCTCCAGAGGGAGAGCAAGGAGCACAGGTGGCGAGGACCGTTTTGGAGGATTTGGGCTGCTGAGGTCCGTTTTGCTGAGCGGCCAAAACGGACCACCAGGGAGAGAAAGGGACAGAGACCCACCGCCAGCTCTCGTGTGATGAGGTTGCCGTGCCAGTGTGCGCACAGGAACATGGACGTTATCATCCCACCCCACCCCCACCCCACCCCCCTGTGCGCACAGGAACATGGACGTTATCATCCCACCCCACCCCACCCCTCCACCCCCCACCCCACCGCACCCCCACCCAGTGGGAGAGCTGGGTACGTCCGTTTTGAAGGATTCGGGCTGCTGAGCGGCCAAAACGGACCACCAGAGGGAGAGCAAGGAGCACAGCCAAGCAGACGAAGCTGGCGAGGTCAGTTTTGGAGGATTTGGGCTGCTGAGCGGCCAAAACGGACCACCAGAGGGAGAGCAAGGAGCACAGCCCAGCATAGCAAGCTGGCGAGGTTCGTTTTGAAGGATTTGGGCTGCTGAGCGGCCAAAACGGACCACCAGAGGGAGAGCAAGGAGCACAGCCCAGCATAGCAAGCTGGCGAGGTTCGTTTTGAAGGACTCGGGCTGCTGAGCGGCCAAAAGGGACCACCAGAGGGAGAGCAAGGAGCACGGCCAAGCAGACGAAGCTGGCGGGGTCCGTTTTGGAGGATTTGGGCTGCTGAGCGGCCAAAACGGACCACCAGGGAGAGAAAGGGACAGAGACCCACCGCCAGCTCTCGTGTGATGAGGTTGCCGTGCCAGTGTGCGCACAGGAACATGGACGTTATCATCCCACCCCACCCCACCACCCCACCCCCACCCAGTGGGAGAGCTGGGTAGGTCCGTTTTGAAGGATTCGGACTGCTGAGCGGCCAAAACGGACCACCAGAGGGAGAGCAAGGAGCACAGCCAAGCAGACGAAGCTGGCGAGGTCCGTTTTGGAGGATTTGGGCTGCTGAGCGGCCAAAACGGACCACCAGGGAGAGAAAGGGACAGAGACCCACCGCCAGCTCTCGTGTGATGAGGTTGCCGTGCCTGTGTGCGCACAGGAACATGGACGTTATCATCCCACCCCACCCCACCCCACCCCAACCCCCAACCCCACCACCCCACCCCACCCACCCTAAAACCAGATGGTGTCGCAGATGAGGGGAAAATGGTGTCGCAGATGAGGGAAAATCAGGGGGGTTTTGGTGTCACAGATGAGGGGGATTTGGTGTCACAGATGAGGGGCTTACCTTGACAGAGTCAGCAATTAATCCAGTCAGCAACTTCACCCAGTCACCAATTGCGTCTGAGTCAGCAACCAAACCGCTCGAGTCAGAATCAGCATCCCAGCAAACTGAAGGTGGGTTGGGGGCCAATGAATATCACTTGCGCTTGCCCTTTAGAAGTTACATTGCTATATTCGGCCAAGAGTGGAGCTCTCACTCCCTAGGGCCTAGTTTTGCCTTGGGGTGACGTGCTCCACCCTCGACCGAATTCCTGCTTTCCGCCCCGTTTCCCCTTCCGACCCCCGTCCGACCTCTCTTAGTTGCCCAGCCGTATCACCCGACCCCAACCAAGCGATGCTTAGTTTTCCCAAGGGGTTTCCCACCTGTAACCCTTCCTGCATTGCCGGGCCCCTGCTTCCCCAATGTTCCTTGCAGCCTCAGAAGCTTCACAGTTGCCAATCCAATCCTTTCTCAGCTGCCTCTATTTACCTTTTGTGTTGCCGACTCTAAGTTGTCGACTGTTGCCAACTCGGCCCCTACCCGTTTGCTGCATTAATTTGCATGTTTTTAGGGGTTCACCCAAAAATATGTTGGAGGTTTAGACAGTTTGGGCTTCATTTAGGACTGGTTTAGGATTTGTTTGGGGTTGGTTTCAAATGGTTTCAATGTATTGGGTTGGTTGAAGGCTTTTCAAGGGTTGGTTCAGGGTTCTTTTAGGGCTTGGGAATGAGAATAGCGCAGGTCGTGTCCGTGGGTTGTTTCATATGTTTCATTTGCAGTTCCATGGTGTTCCATGGGTTGCAGTTCCCTTCCAGAATTGATCCGTTTGCCCGCCGGTCTTCAGGATTTCATGCTTGGTTTCTCCTGAGTTAAGCTGCTGGATTGTATATTAATTTAGTGGTTGACAATGACTGGCTACATCTGTAACTTTTTCCTCCACTTTCCTCCTTTTCTTTTTGGTCGCACAGGGCAGAAAAAAATCCAGGTGCGGCAGCTTTTCAGCCGTGAAGACTTGGAGGAGCAATTGCAAGGTGCGATTTGGCGATGTGCTCAACGAGCCTTGTCACATGTGAGACTTTTGTGAGATTTTGTGAGGTGGGAAAGTTTGGGGAAGTTTGGGAAAGTTTGGGAAATCTTGCAAGCAGGCAGTCCTCAGTCCACTCCGAATTAGATTCTTCTTGCAGGCGAGTATTCGCTCGCTTTGAACCGCAGCCATTAAAGCGGAAATTCCACTACGCTTACTGAACTTTATATCTGCGCGTTCAGGAACAGACTCATGCTGGCGCCAGTTGTTGGACTCCTTCTCAATTTGCTGGCGAGTGGAACTCCATGCGCTGGCGATAATGGCCATGCTGGTGGTCACTGTCACGACAGCTGTGACAGCTGTGACAGCTGTGACAGCGACATCTCATTCTTGCAAGCTGAGCTTCGCTTTGCAACTCGGGCAACTGAAACTCGAGCACCTCCAGCCCCTCTGCTGAAACCCATTGGTCGTAGTTTCTTCTCTGAGGATCCAGCGAACTCTGCAAAGTGGTGGCTCCGTTACAGCAGCTCAGAGCAGCTACCTCCAGAGAAGATGATGACTGTTGGTTTGGACCAAAGTTCCGAGAGTGCAGCAGTTATGGTGAAATCGAAGGGAGAAGAGGTGGAGAAACTTTATTTTCTCAATGTCAACGACTGGAAAAGCCCTTCGAACCTCACCATGAAGGATTTTGTCCAAGCTGCAAAATTGTCCTGGGGGTCTGTGATGAAGCGAGAACAGCTCTACAGCCCGTGGACTGACTTTCACGATGGCCACACGTCAGACACCATCCGGCTTGACCATTTCGAAGAGGACAATCACCTCTTCCAGTTATACCCCGATCATGGTGTGGCAAGGGCGTATGTCCCAAACACAACATGGACCATCGAGTGGCGTAAAGGTGCAGCGACTGAATACATGAATCCATCTACTAAGGCGTATGGCAAAAAGGTATCCTTCCCGCGGCCAGACAAATGCCGCAATTTTTCCAATGACGAAAATCCAGAGAGAACCTACTGGAAGAGTACCTTTCCTGTTCTGAATGCTTCAGCTGCGAAAGAGTTTGCTTTGGATGTTTTGCATGCGAAACCACTTGAGAAAGAGAATCCCTTTCCATGGCCGAGACAGCCGGGCTGCATTGTAGCTTGGACTCAAGTAGCATTTTCACTGCGTAGCGAAGGGTTTTCGTTTATCTCTGGGTACCAAGGGGTAGAGCCGTGTTCGATCAAAGAGGATCTTCTGTTCACAACAGCCCAGCCATTTGCAACGGTTCGTAGTGAAGGCCCCTTTGCCGTGCCTGTCTGGGAAGCCTCAAAGAGGATCATTTTTGGAGGTTTCACAAGTCGGGGAAATTCATTTCCAGTGTTAAATCTCGTGAAGTTTCATTTCTAGTGGTGGTGACCGATCACTTCTTTTTTGCGGGATAGTTGCATTTTTTTTTGCGTAGTCTTTCCAGAAAGATTTCGTTGCAGTCGCAGCGCTTTAGACGTGTGGTAGATCGCAAAAATGTCTACATGGCATTCAGTATTTGCTGTGATGCCAAGATCTGTCTTTCAAAGAGTCCTTCAAGAGTGTCTGCCACAGTGTCTCAAAAAGTGTCCACGAGGCGTGTCTTGCCGTGCAGTTTCACAGGAGAGTCTCCCTTACAATCCTTACAACAGCGTCTTACAGAAGTGTCTTTCGAAGATGCCTCGCAAGCGTGTCTTACAAGAGTGTCCGATAAGAGCGTCTCAGGAGTGTGCCCCGCAAGAGTGTCTTACAAGAGCCTCCAAGAGTGGCTTGCAGAAGTATCTTTCGAAGGTTCCCCACGAGTGGTTGTCAAGGATTTCCACAAGAGCAAGCCCGACATCTGCTTCGTGGCTCTTCTTTTGCGCTTGCCCGTCTGTACTTTGCGTTCTGGCTCCGTTTGCGCGCTTTGGTGTTTTTATCTGCTTCGTGCCTGGAAGTTTGCGCTTGCCTGCCTGTACTTTGCGGTTCGGGTCCCTTTGCTGTGCGAAATTGGGCGTACTCGTATGTGTCTGCATTCGGGATGGTAGGTTTGTATCGTTCGTACCATTTTGTATCAGTTTCCTCCCCATGGATTAAGCCATAGGCCATGCAACTCACCGATACCCGAGGCTGTGCAGTGGGCCAGCTTGCCGCAAGCTGCAGGGGAACCCTTTCAACTGCATTTTGTGGAGGATTTCGTTTACGACACGGTCCTTCACAGCATCCCTGAATTTCTCCAGTACCAGCAGGATTTTTTGCAGACAGATGTATCAAAAGGATGTATCAACAGCTTCATGCTGAACAATCTCATTTTGGAGACAGAATCGCTTGATCCGTTTGCCCGGCGTTTGGATGAACTGTCGGTCCCCTACTTTGTGTTTGCCATTGAAGACAGGCCGGACTATGCTGCTTGCATTCTCGAGTTTTGTAAGCAAATTGTAGTTGACACCGACAGCATCCAACAAATCAATACAAATCATGCGTTTGCCATCGTTTGCCCAGTGAGTTCAATCATGACAATCGATGAGATGTTTTTGTGGGGTTTTGCCTGCCCGGCTGTGTTTTTGAACATGTATCTGTGACAGGTATGCTCTGCTTTTCTCATTTCCTGGAAACGAGGGAGTAACTTTACAGCTTCAAAGTCCTCATTTGAGCTATGTAGCACCGCGACCGGTGGAGTTCTGCAAGTAGCAGCCGGAAGCCACATGAGATTTGGCATTTTTTTTGGCAGATAGCGTTGGCAGATAGCCTTTCTATAGCAGCAGAGAGCTGTGATAGGTCGGACAGTAACAGCATCCGCACCTTGAAAACGGCGAGTTTGCGACACAGTTTGAAGACTGAAAGTCTCGAGTTTGTGCATTCTCGAAGTGTTGCAGCTCAGCCACGGCTCAGGCTTATTCGATGCACTTTCTGGTGGACAGCCTGCACTTGACAAAGGTTTGGAATTTGATGTTTTCGTTGAGGTGTAGATTCTTTCAAACTTCCAAATGAATCCAAATGATTCGGATTCGAGTCTGCATTGAAGTGGTCAGTGTTCAGTGTTGGCATGGTTCCAGGCAGCTTCTTGAATTTCAGTTCGAAGATTCGTGGTCAGGTGTGGAACTGCCCCATCTGAGATTTTTCAAACGTTGTGAGTCCTCTGCTTCGATGGACCAATCTAAGCGTGCCCAGGCTTTAGGCTTGACAAACCCGCGATGCCCCGCACATTGAATTCGCTTTGGATTCTGGAAAATATCCAACCCCAAGACTGGTTTAAACATGTTTAAACAAAGTACCGCATTTTTTTTGATGTCTTTTGGTCCCTCCTGATTGATCACATTTGAGCGAGAAATGCTCCCACGTTGTGTGTAGCGCTTTGCTTTGGAGTTCGCCCACCTTTTCTTTCGGGGTGCCACACAATTGTACATGTGGCGTCTCTGGTTTTTTCCGTTTTGAAACGCAATAGATTCGCTGCGAATCTTGGGCATTTTTTTTCTGAGCCGCTGAGCCATTGCTTGCACGCAAAGCTAACATACCCATTATAGATATTTATAGACTATAGATGACTATAGACTATAGATATTTATAGACTTCATAGATATAGAATGATATAGATAAACAAACCAAGTACCTAAATCTGTACTCTGGCATCAAGACTTCACACGCCTTGCAGTGCGGATTTCGAATATATTGGTCGTTTCGTTGACATCAAACCTTTGCTTGAACTTTTGGCAAGGTGAAAATGCTTTGGAAACTAATTTGCTTCCTATTGTGTGTTCCTTGGAATGAAGTATAGTCAGTATGGGTGTGTCTGAAAATAGTGTACCCCTAAACCCAATGGTTAATGATCATTATCCCTATTAAATGGCTATAATTGGGAATATACCCTATTTTCAGACAAACCCGTATAGTGCTTCTGCATTTCAATTCATTTCGTTCTTTTGGGTTTGGACTGCAAGGCAACGTGTGCTTACTTGGAGTCTTGAGTTTAGAGAAGCTTCTGGGAACTTGGTGAGCAGGTGCATGTTTTGCTGGACATGAAGACCAAAATTGCGCTTCTTCCACCAACAGTCGAGGAGAACTGGTTGGAGTGAACGAAATTGACCTGACCTGACAGCATTTGAGCGAGGTTTTAATGTCCGCTTCGTGACAATTTTGCTGACTCTTGGACGCTCTTCCTCGCTGTTAGAGTTGCAGATCCTTTGGTTCATAGCACTGGCATTTAGAAAGGTATGCGAAAAGAAAACATCGCGGGAGCGTGCAGATTTTTCAAAGGGTTGAACATGGTCATTGTGGAAGTTTGTGGGAAGATTTTTGGGAAATTTGTAGGAAGTTTGTGGGAAGTTTGTGTGAGGACTCTCAATGGATTCAGCAGAGCTTTGATGCCGTCTTTCCACCGGAAGCGCCCTTGGACCGCAACGCCTTTCCAGGCGTTGCCAAGGCGCAGTGACGCAGTGACGCAGTGACTGCTACACATTTTCGCAGCGCGTTGGTCAACACGGTAACTGTGTACATCACGCTGTCAGTTGGTGCTCCTGCGACGAGTGGTCCGAACACTCATTGAGTATGTCTGAAACTCAGACTGCCACATCAAGCCATTCAGATCTTGCACTGTGTACGCCGTGTCCCTTTCGAATATTGGCTCCTTGATGTTCCCTTACTGATCGACTACAATGCGATTCCACAAGATGGCATGCGTTCTTGAAATAGACAGAGCGACATTGGAACACATGTTTAAAGCTAGCAAAGTCTTGCTTACACTGTAGAATTGACAACCCTTCCGACTTGGTCTGGAAGTGGCGCCATGAAAGCATATGAAAGCTGTGACAGCTTGCACGGTTGACCCGTTCCTGTGATTCTTCGATTCGCTAGGTGGGCATTGAAGAACTCAAGGCAAGGCTGTGAGAGGACGAAGGGACATGACAGAAAGAAATGACCAGACGAAAGCTAGACGAACGCGATTGAGAGATCATGGACAAAAACGGGAAGACCATGTAAGACCACATCACGTGGCAAAGTGGTTTTTGGAACAAACTGTACATTCGGTGCAGGTTTGCAATTGCGCGAAAGTTGTTATTGAGCTTCTTGGACGTTCTCCGTTTTTGGATGGTGGGCAATAGCCATTGGAGGTATATCTTTTTTTTGCTCAAATGATTTGTATATATTTGTATCATTTGTATCTGATGATCTCTTCAATTTCCATGCTATCTCCACAATGTCCCCAGCAGGGTGGAATGGCGGCACCACTTGTGGTCGACATAGCCGTGGAGCTACAAACAGGGCAGCCCTTCCACCTTGGTACAGTGCACTGCTTAGCTGCTTAGCTTTGAGGGATCCTCCTGAGCCGAGCCGGCGCCGGCAACCTTCCGAGGTTGCTCCCAGCTCAGCACCATCTCGAAGCCACAGCCTCAATAGCCTCAGCATGCCTCAGCTGTCAAAAAGTGTAGCGAAGGTGGAGATGAACGATTCAGTCTCGGTTAGATGATCCAAGGTGGAGAACGTTTAGATTTGATCGCTGAGTAGGGACAGAAAGCTTTGTCCAAAGATGACAAACGAGGACCGCGCGAGTGTCACACAGAGATGGTTGTTTCTGCGCGTCAGGACTTAAAAGGATTCATGGCTTTCGGATGATTGAATCTAGACATGATTCATGATTATTTTAAATGCTAAAGTGAGATTCAACCAGTTGTTGAACCATTTCATACCCATGCATACCATTTCAACAAAGTGAGCGACATTTTTCATCTTTCTTACAGGCCTTGTACAAGCAAAAGGGTCGGTGGCTGTCCCGGATCCCGGATCGGTGTGGCGTTGTTTGATCAGCCGAAATCCCTTCGCCCAACGTATTGCGTATTGCAAATGACTGATGGCACCACTTGGACTCGGTGGACTCGGTGGACTCCTTCTGAACCTGGCGAGTGGAACTCCATGCGCTGGCGATGGCCATGCTGGTGGTCACAACAGCTGTGACAGCTGCGACAACGACATCTCATTCTTGCAAGCTGAGCTTCGCTTTGCAACTCGGGCAGGACGAGCACCTCCAGCACCTCTGCTGAAACCCATTGGTCGTAGTTTCTTCTCTGAGGATCCAGCGAACTCTGCAAAGTGGTGGCTCCGTTACAGCAGCTCAGAGCAGCTACCTCCAGAGAAGATGATGACTGTTGGTTTGGACCAAAGTTCCGAGAGTGCAGCAGTTATGGTGAAATCGAAGGGAGAAGAGGTGGAGAAACTTTATTTTCTCAATGTCAACGACTGGAAAAGCCCTTCGAACCTCACCATGAAGGATTTTGTCCAAGCTGCAAAATTGTCCTGGGGGTCTGTGATGAAGCGAGAACAGCTCTACAGCCCGTGGACTGACTTTCACGATGGCCACATCGTGGAAACTTTGAGGTTTGATCAGGTTGAGATGGACATGCAACCCTTCCAGTTGTATGAGACTGGTGTCGTTCAAAGGGCGTATATCCCAAATACAACATGGACCATGGAATGGCGTACAGATCCTGACTCTGATCGAGTGTTTCCATCTTCTGCTGAGTATGCAGAGCTGGTTATGTTCAAAAACCCAGACAAATGCCGTAACCATTGGAACGACGAATTTCCAGAGAGAGCCTACTGGAAGAGTACCTTTCCTGTTCTGAATGCTTCAGCTGCGAAAGAGTTTGCTTTGGATGTTTTGCATGCGAAACCACTTGAGAAAGAGAATCCCTATCCATGGCCGAGACAACCGGGCTGCATTGTAGCTTGGACTTAAGTAGCATTTTCAATGCGTAGCGAAGGGTTCTCGTTTATCTCTGGGTACCGAGGGGTAGAGCCGTGTTAGATCAAAGAGGATCTTCTGTTCACAACAGCCCGCAGCCATTTGCAACGGTTCGTAGTGAAGGCCCCTTTGCCGTGCCTGTCCGGGAAGCCTCAAAGAGGATCATTTTTGGAGGTTTTAAATCTCGTGAAGTTTCATTTCTAGAGATTCTAGTGGCAGGCGTGGCGTATGGTGAGTCTTGGGCGTGACCGATCACTTGTTGTTTTTGCTGTAGGATAGCTGCATTTTTTTCGCGTAGTCTTTCCAGAAAGATTTCGTTGCAGTCGCAGCGCTTGGGGGAGCTTGAGGTTCATTTTCCGTTGCCGGCGCAGCGCTTTAGACGTGTGGTAGATCGCAAAAATGTCTACATGGCGTTCAGTATTTGCGATGTTGGTGATGCCAAGATCTGTCTTTCAAAGAGTCCTTCAAGAGTGTCTGCCACAGTGTCTCAAAAAGTGTCCACGAGGCGTGTCTTGCTGTGCAGTTTCACAGGAGAGTCTCCCTTACAATCCTTACAACAGCGTCTTACAGAAGTGTCTTTCGAAGATGCCTCGCAAGCGTGTCTTACAAGAGTGTCCGATAAGAGCGTCTCAGGAGTGTGCCCCGCAAGAGTGTCTTACAAGAGCCTCCAAGAGTGGCTTGCTGAAGTATCTTTCGAAGGTTCCCCACGAGTGGTTGTCAAGGATTTCCACAAGAGCAAGTCCGACATCTGCTTCGTGGCTCTTCTTTTGCGCTTGCCCGTCTGTACTTTGCGTTCTGGCTCCGTTTGCGCGCTTTGGTGTTTTTATCTGCTTCGTGCCTGGAAGTTTGCGCTTGCCTGCCTGTACTTTGCGGTTCGGGTCCCGTTGCTGTGCGAAATTGGGCGTACTCGTATGTGTCTGCATTCGGGATGGTAGGTTTGTATCGTTCGTACCATTTTGTATCAGTTTCCTCCCCATGGATTAAGTCGTAGGCCGTGCAGCTCACCAGTATCCCAGGCTGTGCAGTGGGCCAGCTTGCCGCAAGCTGCAGGGGAACCCTTTCAACTGCATTTTGTGGAGGATTTCGTTTACGACACGGTCCTTCACAGCATCCCTGAATTTCTCCAGTACCAGCAGGATTTTTTGCAGACAGATGTATCAAAAGGATGTATCAACAGCTTCATGCTGAACAATCTCATTTTGGAGACAGAATCACTTGATCCGTTTGCCCGGCGTTTGGATGAACTGTCGGTCCCCTACTTTGTGTTTGCCATTGAAGACAGGCCGGACTATGCTGCTTTCATTCTCGAGTTTTGTAAGCAAATTGTAGTTGACACCGACAGCATCCAACAAATCAATACAAATCATGCGTTTGCCATCGTTTGCCCAGTGAGTTCAATCATGACATCCATGAGATGTTTTTGTGGGGTTTTGCCTGCCCGGCTGTGTTTTGGAACATGTATCTGTGACAGGTATGCTCTGCTTTTCTCATTTCCTGGAAACGAGGGAGTAACTTTACAGCTTCAAAGTCCTCATTTGAGCTATGTGGCACCGCGACCGGTGGAGTTCTGCAAGTAGCAGCCGGAAGCCACAAGAGATTTGGCATTTTTTGGTAGCCTTCAGAGCTGGCCCTTCTTTAGCAAAGAGCCCAGGCTTGGACGACGGAATATCGCACCGACCATCGCACCTTGTGGCGAGTTTCTGAGGTTTCGAAAACGGAGTGTGGCTGCAGGGCGAGGGTGTCCAGAGACGGTTTTTGCGCGAAGTCATCGGAGTCATGGCTTTCGGATGATTTACATTTTAAATGCTAAAGTGAGATTCAACCAATTGTTGAACCAATTCATACCCATGCATACCATTTCAACGAAGTGAGCGACATTTTTCATCTTTCTTACAGGCCTTGTACAAGCAAAAGGGTCACTGGTTGACTGGTGGCATTGCTATGACTCCAGAGAAGAGTGCTGTAAAGCTCATATTGCTGCAGAGCACAATAGGTAACTGATGCGCAACTGCCGATGAAATTTGCAGCTCCGGGTGCGTGCTGCTCCGGATCGGTGTGCATGCTGCACACATGTTGCTGGGCTATTGAGTATCATAGCAAGGGACCAACTTAGCATTCCGGTTTGACAGGACAGAAGTGAAGGCTTCGTAAGACGACTCCACAATCAAAGTTACATTGAATCTTGTGACATCTTGTGACATCTTGTGATTGTTCCTTGGAATCCCTTTGGTGGCCTTTGGATGCCGGTGGTTTCCAACTTTCATTCGACCGTCAAGCAGTTCTGAGGCTGAAATGAAGCAGAATTCGCTGACCCTTCGGTGATTCTGCGAGAGCCCCATCTTTCCAGCCAAAGCGCGGGTCATGTGCGCACATCATGTCTGTTGACATCGCAAATTCAAAAGGACTTCCACCAGGGAACATCCTGAACCAGTGAAAACTGTGATATGACATGATAGAACTGATATAACTGTAATATAACTAAGGTTTGTTCCTTTTTTAGCCCTTTTCATGTCTTAGAGAACAACGATTCATTGAGAATGATGCGACATATGCGACCTGCCACCCCGAAGCATCAGGTCTCGGAGATGAAGCTCCTTGTGGCCGCTGACCCAGTGCCGTTGCCACGTTTTTTTTTTTTGGGTGCTGTTTCATTTCTCCCGTTTCTCCCGTTTCTCCCTTGAAATGGAAGCAAAAAGAGAGGCGCTATAGGTACTATAAGATCTATAAGTATTTCGTGACTGTTCCTGGTTCTCGCATGAGGCGTTGCTCGCGATTGCTTCTGGTGCCAAATGGTCAGAAGGCTTCCGCGAGGCGTCACTCCGTTGGGTCGGTTGGGATGGCGGGCAAGGCAGTTGTGTATAGAGATGTGCAGAGTATTTTTGGTGCAACTTTGTCATGGTGCAGAAACCGCAGAGAAACCGTAGAGAAACCGCAGAGAAACCGCAGAGAAACCGCAGAGAAAGCCGTAGAGACGTCAACTGAGGCCCGCTCAAGCGGCAAGCTCAACATCACCGAGGAGCGCAAAGCATTCGACACCCAGGACCGATCGCACTTCATGGCCCAAGTCCATTTACTATATGTGCTTTGATGAAGTGTAACGTGAAACTTGAAACGCACGGTCTAGCTTTGCCCATTCATGTTGCACTAGTGCCATGTGGGATGACAATAATATTTCTAACATTTGGATCCCCATTAAGGTTGACATGGCACTTGTATCAATCTGCAATGCACTGCGCTACATGCCACCGAAGAATTGGGGGACTGTACCCCTAGCTGTCTTGAGCCCCAAAGGGAATGGGTGGAAGAGGTGTCACAGAAGAAAAAACCGGTCGCGATTTTGATTTCTGGATGATTTCAGCGACAAACCGCGCGCCTATACAACAAAACGCGTTTTGAATGCCCAAACTTGGAAAGCCCCAATGATGGAAACATGCAGCAACGTATCTTTCATGCAACATGTCTCAGAAAACATGATGAACAATCAAAAGAGTGAAATCAATTCCAAAACCGGAGAAACAATGATGTAGCAGTTTTTTTAACATGTCTCAGAAAAATGAAGAACCATGAAAGAAATAAGATATGCATCACATGTTTAACAACAGCATGAGACTAGAACAGTACATTAGCGCAAGAGGATTGGGGAAAAGAAACACGCATTTCGTCTGGAGGAGGATGCCCCGGAAGCCTTGAGACATGTGTGTACAAGACCTGACGTATACATATATGTATATATATATATATCTATATGGTACCCCCCCAAGACCTACCTTTCAAGCAAATTTAGTGGTATTCACAGTGTTTTTCTTAACATTTTGAACTCTAAAACTTAGGGCATTTTTTTGTGATCAAAAATTACATTTTTTGCAAGTTTGTTCCCGTCCCACCCTTCCCTAAGTACATCGGATTCAAGATTCAAGATCCCAAAGAAACTTCTTGAATCCAAGGGGGTAGGGTTCAAGGTTCAAGATTCAAGATCCAAAAAAACTTCTTGAATCCAAGGGGGTAGGATTCAAGATTTAAGATTCAAGATCCCAAAAAACTTCTTGAATCCAAAGGGGGTAGGATTCAAGATTCAAGATTCAAGATCCCAAAAAACTTCTTGAATCCAAGGGGGTAGGATTCAAGATTCAAGATTCAAGATCCCAAAAAACTTCTTGAATCCAAGGGGGTAGGATTCAATTTTCAAGATCCAAAAAAAACTTCTTGAATCCGAAGGCCTTCAGCCTTGAATCTTGAATCTTGAATCCAAAGAGGTTGGATTGAAGAAGTTTTTTCTGAGCCTTGAATCTTGAATCTTGAATCCATATACTTAGAATAATATTAGTTACCAGAAATTGCAATTTCTTGCAAATTCTTGCAAATGATCGTCCTGTCTGCTAAGGACATTCCTCAAATAAACCTGCTTATCCTTTAAAAAATCTAAAGCCATTTTTTCTTTGCTTTCCAAGCAAATCAATCAATTTTGGCAAAAATAACGAAAAACATAAACCATGCAATAAAGGTAACTAGATTCATCAGAATAAAAGTAAAATAAATTGAACAAGAAACTTCTGCAATCTTAAACAGTAATTTCTTTAAACAAGAAAAAATAATCAGTAATAAGTAGTAAAAATACATGACCTCATCCGATAGCAATACCTCCTTATCTACAGATCAATCAAAACCTTCCCAACAACATGTATTAGAAAGGGTTGCAGATAGACCGGCAAATAAAACTTTCTCTAAAAAAACCGGTTGCAATTTATGTTTAGAAAAAGGTAATAGACGATAAAAACCCCGAACTGCTATCAACGGTCACATCACAAAATGGTATATTTTATCTTCAAAAAATAGAAACAAACCAATCTGAAAAAACATATTCGAGATAAACAAATAATTTGATTAACTTAAAACTAGATCCTCAGAATATAGAGCTAAACGAACCAATAAAAATACAGAACAGGCCACTGTGGGAGTGCGCAAATTGCAGCATTTCCTGTGCAAAGATCCAACAGCATATGGCGCAACCGGACAAAATTGAATTCCATTCCTCTCTGCTGTTCATTGGCTGAATGCACTATGTCATAGCAAACATTGCTGTACTGTAGTGTATCGACCTTGCTTCTAGTGCAACCACTGACAGTGCCTGGCAATCTCTGCTTGGCACATCTGCAATGGCTATCCAAACCAAAAAAACAAAAAAACAAAAAACCAAGAAACCAAAAAACCAAAAAACCAAAAAACCAAAAAACAAAAAAACCAAAAAACCAAAAAACCAAAAAACCAAAAAACCAAAAAACCAAAAAAAACAAAAAAAACAAAAAGACAAGACCCAACACTCTGCATCTGACCCCCTCCCCTTGGGGTGTGCAATCTTGTTTTTTTTGTTTTTTTTGGTTTTTTGGTTTTTTGTTTTTTTGGTTTCTTGTTTTTTTGTTTTTTTGTTTTTTTGTTTTTTTGGTTTGTGTGTGGATAGCCCAGACCTTGCCCATGGGTCTGAACTTTTTTTTTTTGTGTTCTCGAGGTTTTTGGCCAAACTGCAAAAAACCATGGAAAAACCAAAAAAACAAAAAGTTCAGACCCATGTCCCCTGCCAGGCCTCTTCCAGACCTTGCCCATGGGTCTGAACTTTTTTTTTTGTTTTTTCCATTGTTGTTTTGAATGTTTTTCATGTGAAGATGCTTTCATCACAGTACCTCTCAAAAAATGCTTAATGAACATAATGACTAATATAAGGATTAATATAATGATTAATATAATGATTAATAAAATGATAAATAAAATGATCAATATCATGATTAATAAAATGATTTATATAATGATTATTAACATGAAGAATTTAATGATTAATATCATGATTATTATCATGATTCATATAATGATTAATGTAATGGTTCATAAAAAGCCTAATGCGATGACTAATATAATTAATATAGTGATTAATATAATGATTCATATAATGATAAATATAGTGATTCATTTCATGATTTATTTAATGACTTTTATAATGGCTAAGATAATGATTAATATAATGATTTTTGTAATGGCTGATATACTTGTTAATTTATTGACTAATATAATGATTAATATAATGATATATATATATATATTTAATGACTAATATAATGATTAATAAAACGATTAAAATAATGAATTATGTAATGACTGATATAATGATGATTCATTTTATGATTCATTTGATGATTAATATAATGATTCATAGAATGATTCATATAATGATTCATATAATGATAAAAAATAATGATTCATTTAATGACTTATATAATGACTAATATAATGACTAATATAATGATTAATGTAATGACTGCATGGAAAAAAGTGCACTCCCACAGCGGCCAGCTCTCTAAAAATATCGGATCTTTTGAAGCAAAAATACATATTCACCCAATGCTAGAAACGCCCATAATACCTAACAACATATCACAAAATTAAGAACTATAAAAAAGTAAGACAATTTATAATATGACAAATATATTAAAAAATGATCTGGCTTTTTGTTTTTACTGGTTACTGTTTAATTTGTTATTACTACTACTACTACAACAACTACTACTACTGCTACTACTGCTACTGCTACTGCTACTGCTGCTGCTCCTGCTCCTGCTCCTGCTCCTGCTCCTGCTGCTACTGCTACTGCTACTGCTGTTGCTGCTGCTGCTGCTGCTGGTAGTGCTACTGCTGGTAGTGCTACTGCTGGTAGTGCTACTGCTGGTAGTGCTACTGCTGGTAGTGCTACTGCTACTGCTACTCCTACTATTACTGCTACTACTACTGCTGCTGCTGCTGCTTCTGCTTCTGCTCCTACTGCTACTGCTACTAACGCTACTAACGCTACTAACGCTACTAACGCTACTAATGCTACTAACGCTACTAACGCTACTAACGCTACAACTTTACTAACGCTACTAACGCTACGAACGCAGCAACTACCAGTAGACCACACTACAGCTACAACTGCAACTTCACTACGCTTCACTACGCTTCACTACGCTTCACTACGCTTCACTACGCTTCACTACGCTTCACTACCCTTCACTACGCTTCACCGTGCTTCACTACGCTTCACCGTGCTTCACTACGCTTCACTACGCTTCACTACGCTTCACTACGCTTCACTACGCTTCACTACGCTTCACCGTGCTTCACTACGCTTCACCGTGCTTCACTACGCTTCACTACGCTTCACTACGCTTCACTACGCTTCACTACGCTTCACTACGCTTCACTACGCTTCACTACGCTTCACTACGCTTCACTACGCTTCACTGCTTACACTACTTTCATTGCAACAGCAACTACGATTACAATTACAATTTTACAAAGCAACTATATAATATATACCACTACACTACAACTACAACTACCGCTACGCCACATTACAATTACACAAAACACCACACTACGTCCAGCAGTTGTGGGTGAGGTGACCATTGCAACCATTCCAAACAGCACAACTCCAACCACTTTTCGGTCCATCAGTGGGTTGGCTCTGCCATCCATGTGTCACAACAAACAACCTGTCCTACTATCTTTGTAACTTCCGCCACCGCCTGGTGTGGTACTACTGGTGCCATGAGGTGAACGAAGCAAGCCCGGCACAGATGCATTTAAAAAGAGGTTGCTGACGCACAAGTTCCCAAAGCAGCCCACTTAGCAACCCAACACGGCTCGTGACACCCATTGCACAACTTCCCAGCCATCCCAATCCCCCCTCAGAAATCCACGCTCGTTCCGCTCAAAGCGAGCCCAAATTACACCCGAAGTGAATTTAAATTTACGCCGGAAGCGAGCCAAAATCACGCCCGAAGGGAACCCTGCCCGCCGAGCCACGTCGCCCGCCTGAGTGATCACATTTGACAAGGCCATGGACAACTTTGCATCAATTGACTGGGCGTCCAAATCCGCATCGGGCTGAAGAGCGGGCCGCAACCATGCTTCCCACGCTACTCGGCCACCATCATGTGGCTGCCAAACACACACTTGCTCAGAAACATCTTTGCGAATTACTGATGTGGAATGCATCTCACGTGCAAAAACACTTCAATTAAACCTAACAGGAGAGATTGGTTGACATGACGCAGTCAGTTTCCCCTGTAGTGTAATTATATATATATACAAAACATGGACCTAACAAGCCTATCTAAGGGAAAAGGATGACCTAAGCCTGGAATGAACATGAGAAATGAGATGAAACCTACCCTAAAGTGAATATATATATATAAGTCCCTAACATTCAACAGATTAGAGGTTTTACATTGCTTGCTCAGAAACAACTTCTCGAATGATTGGTGTGGAATGCATGGTACGTGCAAAACCACTTCAGCTAAAACGCAGGTACGTTTACACGGGTCCCGGGGGGTGTCTTCGTTGGCCACCGACCCCCCCGGGACCCCGTTGGCCCCCTGCTTCAAGCGAAAAAACGAAAGAAGTTCTTCATCTCTTCAGATGTTCCACATACACGCCCCGATGCCGCGAGGCTTTTTTCCCGCTGTTTATTCATATATATATATTTACAAGACCTGGACCTAACAAGCCTACCTAAGGGAAAAGGATGACCTAAGCCTGGAATGAACATGAGTAAATGAGATGAAACCTACTCTAAAGTGTAAATATATAAATAAATAAATAAATATATATATATATACACATGCCCCTGCTTGAAGCGAAAAAACGAGAGAAGTTCTTCATCTCTTCAGATGTTCCACACACACGTCCCGCTGCCGCGAGGCTTCCCGCTGTTTATTTATTTATATACATATATATATACATATATATATACAAAACCTGGACCTAACAAGCCTACCTAAGGGAAAAGGATGACCTAAGCCTGAAATGAGCATGAGTATATGAGATGAAACCTACCCTAAAGTATATATATATGTATATACATGTTCCCTACATTCAGCAAATTAGAGGTTTTACATCTCTTCAGATGTTCCACACACACGCCTCGCTGCTGCGAGGCGTTTTAAGGTCCCGACAAATGAGATGAAGGTGAAGATGAAGGAAAGATGAAAATGGGATGACGATGAAAATGAGATGAAAATTACTTAACCAGGACACGAAGAGGGGAACGCAAAAGAAGAATGAAGGAGCAAACGCACACCAACACACCTAGCCCGGAACGGGCGGACCCTGAAAAGGCAAGGAAAAAGAAAGAAGCGGACGGACGACGGACCAAAAAACCAACCAGAGAAGGGGGGGCGGACGGAAGCGCCTGACACAACCTACAAGGCGAGAGCCAAAGCCTACCTAGGAACGCGAAGGACCTAAACCTAACCTAGAGAGGGGAAGCACGCATGAAATAAGGGACCAATGGGGACCTAGTTGATGAAAATGATGCATCAACGGCCTGGATTCAATTCACCCCTATGGACGGCTTACGTGTTCAACCCCTGAATTAAGTACACAACTTAACCTCACCAGACAACCACTAAAAGAAAGAGGACCGCACCTGATGCCTGCCATGCAAAAAAGGGTGAGGCCCGAACAGCGGCCAGCTGTTCAACACTAATCGACCGGCAGGTGAAACCCGAAAAAAGGCCAGCGGTTTCACTTTACTTAAACGAATTACTGATTCAAAAGTGTAAATTCCGCATTCAGTTAGAAGAGTCAAAAAGGTGAAGCCAGGCACGGCGGCACGCAGTTCAACACTTCGACCGACGGGTGAAACACGAAAAAATGGCCAGCTGTTTCACTTTACTTAAACGAATTACTAATTCAAAAGTGTAAATTCAGCAATCAATTTGAAGCGTCAATTCTTTCCCTAGAAAGGGATTCCCCGAAGGGTTCCTACCAACTTGACGTTCACAGCAGGAACGACACACTTGCTCAGAAACGACTTTTCGAATTATTGGTGTGGAGTGCATCGGATGTGCAAAAACACTTCAATTAAACCTAACAGGAGAGATTGGTTGACATGACGCAGTCAGTTTCCCCTGTAGTGTAATTATATACATATATATATATATGCAAAACCTGGACCTAACAAGCCTATCTAAGGGAAAAGGATGACCTAAGCCTGGAATGAACATGAGAAATGAGATGAAACCTACCCTAAAGTGAATATATATATATAAGTCCCTAACATTCAACAGATTAGAGGTTTTACATTGCTTGCTCAGAAACAACTTCTCGAATGATTGGTGTGGAATGCATGGTACGTGCAAAACCACTTCAGCTAAAACGCAGGTACGTTTACACGGGTCCCGGGGGGTGTCTTCGTTGGCCACCGACCCCCCCGGGACCCCGGTGGCCCCCTGCTTCAAGCGAAAAAACGAAAGAAGTTCTTCATCTCTTCAGATGTTCCACATACACGCCCCGATGCCGCGAGGCTTTTTTCCCGCTGTTTATTCATATATATATATACAAGACCTGGACCTAACAAGCCTACCTAAGGGAAAAGGATGACCTAAGCCTGGAATGAACATGAGTAAATGAGATGAAACCTACCCTAAAGTGTAGATATATATATATAATATATATATAATATATATATAATATATATATATACACATGCCCCTGCTTGAAGCGAAAAAACGAGAGAAGTTCTTCATCTCTTCAGATGTTCCATACATCCACACACACGTCCCGCTGCCGCGAGGCTTCCCGCTGTTTATTTATATATATATATATTTATATATACATATAAATAAATATATATATATATACAAACCTGGACCTAACAAGCCTACCTACGGGAAAAGGATGACCTAAGCCTGAAATGAACATGAGTATATGAGATGAAACCTACCCTAAAGTATATATATACATGTTCCCTACATTCAGCAAATTGGAGGTTTTACATCTCTTCAGATGTTCCACACACACACACTCTTGACAGGAGCTGCAGAGCGGGGTAGTTTGGCTGCGAAAAAGTTGTGGCAAGCGCTATGCAGATCTTTTGCTTGATTTGCTTCGATATGACACGGTCAAATTGACTGCTCCTCTCTCTCTCTCTCACTCACTCACTCACTCACTCACTCACTCACTCACTCACTCACTCACTCACTCACTCACTCACTCAGTGCCAGCCACAAGTAGCCAGAAGTAGCCAAAGCATCCACAAGTATCCATGAATCCTAAAACACCATCAGTCATGTCTCCATTCTACGGTATGTCTCCTGTCTTGTATTCACTAAATTCACTAAATATTTGATGATGTGGATGACGCGGCTCCCGGCTAGCTAACCATAATTCCATGACAATAACGGAAGCCAAAATAGTTAAATAAATAAATAAATAAACAAACAAACAAAAAATATTAAAATAAATAAATGAATAGATAAATAAATAAATAAACAATTAAATAAATAAATAGATAAATAAATCAATAAATAAATAATACAAGGCCGGCAAGGCTCCAACGCAGACCCTGTCTCCAAAAAAGTTACAAAACACGTTTTTTTCTTGAAGTAGCCAGTGAACACAAAAGACATATAATCCCCTTTTCTTCTCTGCTGGGTTGCCTCTATTCTCTCACCTGTGATGTTTTCTTCTTGGTTTGCACTTGGAGGCTTAGATACAGAACCAGACGGGTCCACAGGAGAATTGGTGAAACTTGCTAAGTGAGGAACCATTTCGCCGAAAGCGTCTGGCACCCGAAGTGGCTCAAGCGTGGCCAACCGAAGCCACTTGGATACAGGATAAGATCTCCGGTGTGGCATTGTTTTCCCGACTCTTGGCAGAATATGCGGAATGGAAGGAGGGAGCTATACTGCCTGATATTACAGTATTACAGTTCGACCTGCCACCACCTTCTTTCGATATGACATGGTCATAATGACTGCTCCTCTCTCTCTCTCTCTGGATGCCGTGGCTCGTGGCTGGCCGGCCAGGATCCATGGAGTACAAGCGAAAGCGTCTGGCACCCGAAGTGGCTCAAGCGTGGCCAACCGAAGCCACTTGGATACAGAATAAGATCTCCGGTGTGGCATTGTTTTCCCGACTCTTGGCAGAATATGCGGAATGGAAGGAGGGAGCTATACTGCCTGATATTACAGTATTACAGTTCGACCTGCCACCACCTTCTTTCGATATGACATGGTCATAATGACTGCTCCTCTCTCTCTCTCTCTGGATGCCGCGGCTCGTGGCTGGCCGGCCAGGATCCATGGAGTACAAGCGAAAGCGTCTGGCACCCGAAGTGGCTTGAGAGCCACTGCAATAATCGATCGATATCCACATTAATCCCCAGGGCCTGGTCTCCAAGCATCTCCAAGACTGTATACCCAAGGCTGGGCAGACATGGAGTCAGACGATGAAGGGGAACACTTCCTCAGCTTCTCAGGTCAAAAGAGTTTCGACATGCAGCCGCTTGGCCAAAGTTTCTCTCACGCTGGCACTTGTAGCATTTGGCTAAGTAGCTTAGACATATCACCTTACATGGTACAGAGAGTTAAGAACACGAAGGAAAATCAGAAGGGTCTTGCCGCTTCTGTGTTTGTGCTATGCCTGCCGCAAAGGAAGCGCGTGGAAAGTGCTGATGGGAAAGGAAGCGTGGATGAAACAGAGGCCAACAAAGCACATAGCCATGAACAAGTTGTGGGTTCATTTTTTTGGAACGCTCGCCGCTTCGCATGGATAGTTAAATAAATAAATAAATAGATAGATAAATACATATAAAAATAAATAAATGAATAGATAAATAAATAAATAAACAATTAAATAAATAAATAGAAAAATAAATAAATAAATAAATAATACAAGGCCGGCAAGGCTCCAACGCAGACCCTGTCTCCAAAAAAGTTACAAAACATGTTTTTTTTCTTGAAGTAGCCAGTGAACACAAAAGACATATAATCCCCTTTTCTTCTCTGCTGGGTTGCCTCTATTCTCTCACCTGTGATGTTTTTTTCTTGGTTTGCACTTGGAGGCTTAGATACAGAACCAGACAGGTCCACAGGAGAATTAGTGAAACTTGCTAAGTGAGGAACCATTTCGCCGAAAGCGTCTGGCACCTGAAGTGGCTCAAGCGTGGCCAACCGAAGCCATTTGGACACAGACTCAGATCCTCTCTGGATGCCGCGGCTCGTGGCTGGCCGGCCAGGATCCATGGAACACGCCAAGGTGGTGAATGGAGATGAAGAGGTGCGGAGCGCAGGGATGTATAAATGATAAATAAACGTGAATGCTGGGATCAACACCCACAAGTTCTTAGTTCTCAGCATCTCTGTGGGCAGGTGATGGAGGACTCCACGTCAGCTTCATCGGGAGACTTCCAGGATGGCAGCTGCAGCGAAAAAGTTGTGGCAATGCAGATCTTTTTTTTGAGGGGGGCTAGGCAGCAAGAGCGACAATAGAGATCAATAGAGCAATTTGAAACTTGTTCATGCGCCTTGCTCAACGAAACTGCTTGCCATTGCGAGAACAAAAGGAACAATAGGTTTTCAGCAAGACACATGATTTCACTATCTGATTGATTCAGTAGTACTAGTTCAGAAGATGAATGGGAAGATAATTACGCGTGGGCAGACAGGAAGTTTCTCCTTTGTCATCGCTTACATTTTTACATTCGCACCATAATCATGATGTTTTTGCACAACGTCCCAGGATGGCAGCCAACGAAAGCGTCTGGCACCTGAAGCGGGCCTGATTTTCAAAGATTTCAGCCAAGAATGTTGTACTTCGACTTTGTACACCTTGAGCTTCAATCGCAGCAGTTTCTTTGGGGCCAGTTGCGCGGAGCCAGCACCTACTGTAACAATCTATAAATATCCATAATAATCCCTAGCGCCATGTCCGTGTAGTGAGGTCCGACCGTAACCCCACCATGCGGCACTTGGAGAAGACTTCTGGCATCGCCATAGATGGGACTTCCAAAATGGATGGGTGAACAGTGAAGGCTGAAGGTGCACGTGTCCATTGATTGGTACCGCATTTGGCTTCTGCTGACCCATGATACTGCCAGCAGCGTCGCTTGGGGCTGCAGCAGCGGGGGGCCATTGCTGGCAATCGTTGAAGCTGCATGGCGCTCCTTGCTGACAGGATCTGAAGAGAGTGAAGGCTGTTGAAGGCTTAGTGTCCACGCCGTGGACTCAGCACACTGCCCGAGAGGGTCGTGTTAGCTGCTTGTGGTGGGCGCTTTGAAAATTGTCGCTTGATTTTTATTTTTTGAATAAGTATTTACATATATATATATTTTCAATATATATATATATTTATTTATTTTATATAGGTATATATTCTATTATACACACGTCCGAAAATCTTACCCCCAAACTCTGAGGGTTGAGGAATATCTATAATTGTCATTTTTCATCTTGACAGTATGTTTAGATCTAAATATAGATATATACCTTTATACTATAGTACCTATGTTCCATATATATATATATCTATATGTATATTATGTATATGTATATGTATATGTATATGTTGATATTTATATATATATATATGTCAAAAAATTGCACATCTGTATGTAAGTTCATACATACATTAACAAAGGACGTTTAGTTAGAAAACTTCCGAGTTATGGACGATTGTCATGGTCAGCATGTCCACCATCTTGTCAACCATACCATTCTGTCAAAGCACATTATCATGTCAACCACTTGGGACGTGTAACAGTTCGGAAGCGTGTGAATTCGCGGCTGAAAACATTCTCGGGCGCGAGACTCTGTTTTTTTCGGGTAAATATGGCTGCTTCATTGTTTCCTTGATTCATTGAATCATTGTTTTTTTGTTTTTTTGGATCATTGATTTATTGCTTCGTTGCTTCGTTGAATCATTGCTTCATTGCTTCATTGACTCATCGGCTCACTACTTCAATCATTCACTGATTCGTTGTTTCATTGGTTCAATGGTGCATTGACTCACTGATTCCTTGCTTCATTGATTGCTTGACCCAACATCTGATTTATTGATTAATTGCTTCGTTCCTTCATCGGTTCACTGATTCATCGGTCCCCACAACTTCAACACTTTCTTGCTTCTGCATCTCAAAAGCTTCCCTATAGGCCATCTTCTTCCTATAATAGTCTTTCTTTTTTCGAAACTTCCGCCCCCGCGCGGGCCGGGCACTACTGGTGGTATATTCTTTACACCATTGAGATTAAAACATATGTATATATATATATTATAGAATTCGTTTTTAAATCTTTTTATATATTTGTTTATTATATACATAGTTGAATACCTAAAAATATATATTCAAAAAATTGTTCATGTGTAAACGCGCATACACTCATTCATACATGCATGCATACATATACATTTACAAAAACAGATATACATACACATATATATATATATATGTTTATATTTCAACACATATATGAATATGTAAATGTATATGTATATTTATATATATTTGAATATATACATATATATACATATATATACATACATATATATATATGTATATATGTGTTTATTTATTGAAATCTATGTATGTTTAATTATATATATGTGCACATATATGTGTATGTATGTGTATATATGTATGTATATGTATATGTTCACGTATATGTATGTGTATATGTATGTGTACATGTACGTATATATATATATAAAGGTAGTTATGTATAGGTTTTTATGTCTGGTTATATCCGTAAGATGAGTTCTTGGTTTGCAACCTTTAGCGTAGGTCGTTGGTAGGAGTTTTAAGTCGATGATGTTTGCAAAGTCAGGCTGCCTACAGCAAGGTTCCAACAACATAAAAGATCCGTCAATATCAACTGGCATTCGGTGACATTCTCATTGGAGTAAGCTAGAGTAAGTCGCCCTTTTGGTTGGGAATTGGGAATGCCAAATACAATCAAACTCTACAGTTTCCTGTGCCTTCAATTTTGACCCATGCCCAAAGCAACCATATGAACATCTTCTGAGACATATGAACATTCTATGAAGTCAAAATGGTAGGGAAAGGCTAGCCAGCATCATCAAGCAGAATATCATGCCAGTGCCGTGTCGATTGTTGTAATTCTCACGTGGTGTCTTCTTCTGGTCAGAAAGCAAGCCGCTGTGTCACAAATGGTGTGACGCTTTCAGATCTTGAGCCAGTTTTCGGTACGAGGCATGTGTCCAATGCTTCTCTCCCGCGGTCTGCCGTGCTCGTTTCCCCGCGAAAGCGGCAGCAGGCCTGCACGTTCTTGTGCTATGCTATGCTAATGTCGCCCTTCGGACGCATGGGTCGTGCCAACCATGAGCAATGGCGAACGGTCAAGAAGAAGAAGAAAAAGCAGGCCAAGGCAGGCTCAGCAAACTGAGGTCGTGCATTTGGCCCAAGTCTTTCTTAGGTGCAAGAGAGATACTGCTTGATGATGCTTGATGAACCACTTCGAAAGGACCCATGGTATCGCCATAGGACCTCCAAAACCGACACGTGAACAGTGAAGGCTGAAGGTGCACGCGTCCATTGGTACCCCATTTGGCTTCTGCTGACCCATGATACTGCCAGCAGCGCTGCTTGGGGCTGCAGCAGCGTGGGCGCCATTGCTGGCAATGGTTGAAGCTGCATGGCGCTCCTTGCTGACAGGATCTGAAGAGAGTGACGGCTGTTGAAGGCCTAGTGTCCACGCGGTGGACTCAGTGCACCGCCCGAGGGGGCGGTGTTAGTTCCTTGGGGTAGGCACTTCGAAAATTGTCGCTCGCTTGATATTTTCTTTGTATATATAGATATTTCACCTATATATATGATATATATATATTATCATTATTAACATTATTATATTATTATTACCAGTAGTACCGCACAAGGCGGTGGCGGAAGTTTCAAAAACAGGAAACCTATAGGAGAGGTTGGTTGTTGTGAATCAGGGATGGCAGAGCGAAGCCACTGATGGACTGAAAGGTGCTTGACCTCTCTCTCTCTTTCTTTTTTCTCTTTCTCTCTTTTTCTTTCTGTTTATCTAGCTTTCTCTGATTATCTACCTACCTACCTACTGATCTATCTGTCTATCTATCTATTCATCTCTCTGTCTATCTATCTCCCTATGTATTTATCTAGCTGTCTAGTTTTCTAGCTATTTGTCTATCTATCTATCCATCGATCGATCGATCTATCTATCCAACTAATCTGCTATTCTACTAATCTACTATATCTATCTATCTATCTACCTATCTACCTATCTAGCTATCTAGCTATCTAGCTATCTAGCTATCTAGCTATCTAGCTATCTAGCTATCTAGCTATCTAGCTATCTAGCTATCTAGCTATCTATCTATCTATCTATCTATCTGCAAGATCAAAACTAAGATTTCTGCGAGACTTCCGTAATGTTTGAACATAAGAACGTCCAAAACGGAACAATTCTGCGAGACGTCTTCATTTTTTGAACTTGACAACATCCGAAACGAAGCAATTCTGCGAGACTTCCTCATTTTTCGAAGTGCAAGACATCAAAAACGAAGAATTCTGCGAGACTTCCTTCAAAAATGGAAAAGTTGAGTGCAGAGCTGACAGACTCGTACCAATGCGTTTTGCGATTTTTCCAGTCCACCTGTCTAAAGTACTGCGCCTGCCACAGAAAATTGATGCCAGGTCATACGAAGTGCTGCACCTGTCACGCAAAATCATCTTAGCAAACCTGCACATCTGATACTCCAAAATGCAACCCCTCTCAGGAAATCAGCGCCCTGACCTCCTAACATCTCTCATGAACATGTCTTTTGTACTGTGCTTGCCACGAAAATGCATCTTTGCAGATCCTCTTCAAATGTCCCATGCCTGCCATCATTCTTGGAAATGCCACAAAACCCTCACGTTTTGGTCACTTTTGACAAGGTGCACAATCCCTTGCGCCTGCCACGCGAAACGACATCTGAACCTCCAAAAATGGTCCGTACATGGTGTGTTTTGTACATTTTGACTTGGACATGTGCTTCGCGCCACAATGGCGTGCACTTTTTTGACATCGTAACTTCCAAAAGTGGTCCGACGCTGAGGTGTTTTGTACATTTTGACTTGGAAATGTGCTTCGCGCCACAACGGCGTGCACTTTTTCGACTCTCAACTTCCAAAAGTGGTCCGAGCACCAGGTGTTTTGTACATTTTGACTTGCAAATGTGCTTTGCGCCACAACGGCGTGCAATTTTTCATCTCTCATCTGGCCAGCTGGCTCCGCACCCGCCGCTTTAGCGAGCCTACTTTTCGAGCCTCTGGAGCCCCAAATCATTGGAATAACACAGTGTTTCGCGACTTTCCTACCTTTTCACGCATCTGCATCTTCTTTCTTCTTACTCTTCTTTCTTCTAATCTTTCTCTTCTCTCTGCCTCTTCCCTGCTCTGCTTTTCATCTGTCCATATTGTCGGAAGTTTGACTTCTAAACTTCTAAACTTCCTTCGACTATTAATATTATTATTATTATTATTATCACTATTATTATTACTATTATTATTATTATTATTATACACATGTCCGAAAATTTTACCGGCAAAATCTGAGGGTTGTTGAATATTTATTTTTGGCATCAATTCATCATTTTTTGTTTGGTTTTGTATTTTTTTGTCATTCCTGTTTTCTGCTGTCATTTTCTTGTCATTTTTTGGCAATTTTCTTGTCGTCGGCGCGGTGGCTGGACCCGGAGCCGACCTGAGAAGTCCAAAAACGTCATTTTGCCAGCAAATTGTTTGGTTCTTTTTTTACGAGGTTTGTCATGTTTTGTGCATTTTTTAAAAGATTTTTTTTCTGCATTTTGTTTTTTTTTGTGTGAGCTTTTTGCATTTCCCAAATTGGGAGCCTTCTTTTTTCATTTCCCAGGTTGGGAATCTTTTTATTTTTTTTCATTTCCCAAACCAAACAGACAATAAAATGACAAGGAAACGACAATAACATGAATGACAAAAACATGACAAAAAATGAAAAATGCTAAATAATTAGTTTTGATTTTCCAGTGTTTGTCGGCCCAAGACTTTCTTAATATTACATATGCTTATATATATATATATATCTATATATTCATTATCACAGGAAGTTTAGCTAGAAACTTCCGAGTTATGGACAATTGTCATGGTTAGCGTTTCCACCATCATGTCAACCATATCATTCTGTCAACCACATCATCATGTCAACCTTGGGACGTGTAACATTTCGGAAGCGGGTGAATTCACGGCTGAAAACATTCTCGGGCGCGAAACCTTGTGTTTTATCAGGTAGATATGGCTGCTGGGGTTGCCGAAGTAAGGTCTGTGTTTCCGCGGTTCCGTGTCTCGAGCTAGGAAAGTTGTCGACAAAAAGTGCACAGGACTGTAGCGAGAGCTCAATTTCTATTTCAAGATGTTAAAAGACTGAGGCGCACGGGGCACTTCTGGAAGTTAGGTATAATCAAATTAAGCTTGTAAATTACTTTTACCAGTAGTACCGCGCAAGGCAGTGGCGGAAGCTTCAAAGATAGGAAACTTTTGAAGAGATTGGCTGTTGTGCGTCATGGATGGCAGAGCGAAATCACTGATGGATCGAAAAGTGGTTGGAGTGTCGGGCTATCTATCTATCTGTCTGTGTGTCTGTCTGTCTATCTGTCTATCTATCCATGTATCTATTTTTTTATCTATTTATTTTACTGTCTGTCTGTCTGTCTATCTATCTATTTATCTATCTCTCTCTCTCTATTATTGATACATACATACATACATACATACATACATACATACATACATACATACATACATACATACATACATACATACATACATACATACATACATATATATTTGTTTGCATGTGTAAATTCATACGCATATATGTGTATGTGGGCGTTTACATATATTTACTTACATGTATATAGATCGATAGATAGAAAGATAGGGGCAGCGCAAATCCGACAGATACTTTGGCAACCGACCCATTTCTGTCAGAATCCAAGGGACGGCATGCGGCTTTTTGTAGACCTGCGCATTTTATGCGTTTATATATATATATATACATATGTATGTATGCCATGTATTTTGCAACTATTGCTATTATCATTTTTATTTTGTTACTCGTGCATAATATTACCACTATTTGTTTTGTAATAAATTGAAATGACGTACATATGATTCCTATTTTGAATTGGGTATTGAGTCGGTCTAAGATTGGTATTTTGGATCATTTGGCATCAGTGCCCCCTGCAACTTGAAACACTATACTTATGAAATCTTTTGTGCTTGGGCAATGCAAGTCATTCTAAATGGGGGGTCGTCGTAAGTTCTATGACATTTCAACCCATTTGGCGGTCATTCTTAGTCTCAGACCGCTGCTATATTGATGTTATACTTGCGATGTAGCCATTACCGATTTAATTTTTGTAATGTGATATTTTTTTTTAAATTGAAGACAATATTTAAGACAATATTCGTATATATTCGTGGCAAGGACGCTCGTCTTGGGCAGACCCTGCGAGAGAGCCTCGAAAGCCTTGGGCGCCGTGAGCGTATGGCATGGGCCAGGGGACTTGGATCATGGAAGTCTTGGATGCATTGGATATATGGCATACCAAACTGCAAATGGCAAACGGAAAGCAACTCATGTGGGTTAAAAAACCCACAAACCATCCACCATATTTCACCACATTCATATGTGGTATAGTTACCATTCCCAAGTGGATAGTTTATTATTGTTTTACCCACATTAGGCAAACTATACCAAGCTTCAGAACCTGTCGCAGCGACAAACTTCGAGGCGGATATTCTCAAGTTCGTCACTGAGCCCAAGTGCTCCCAGACAGTTCAGTGGGAAACGGTGAACATAGCAAACGCAACCTTTTCTCACATGGTTTGAGAAGGCTACTTGTGATATCTTGTGATATCATGTTTGATATTGTTTTACATTGTATATTGAAGTTTGTCAGTCTTTGATTCGCAGCCTTTATAGTAGATTCTAGCTTAGTAACCAGGGGTACACTTGTGACATTGGATGTGGTAACGATGATCAGATACGTGCTGGGCGTTCGCAAGTGGATTTGGGTCCCGGACTCAGAAAGTTGAGTTTATCCTGGGAGCTTCTCAGCGGAAACTTACCTCCTAAGAGAAATGTGGATCCCCACTTTGCATCTGCCGCGCTTTTCTTGTGAATCTGCTGTAAAGCATTTGGATACCTGAAAAAATGCCACAGTGGCTTAGAAATTGGTGCAAACTGCTTGTGCATGATCTCGCATGACTAAGTGGTGGCGGCATATGCAATCCATCGCATCCCTTTTTGGCACATCTGCAGCATATGCCATTTACGACACTCCAAGTCTCATCAAAATGATTCAAAATGGGTAAAAGATGGAACAAGATGGTAAACGTACTAAACTTATCGGATAAAAATACCCATAAAAAAAACCGTACTAGACTTATCATATAAACATACCATTTTTTTTAAGCGTTACCTGGAACTTTGTCCCGTGCTGTGGCGAGGCCTCCGTCGCCGCATTCCTTGCGGCCACGTGCTTCGTGGGTGTTGCTCCGCGCCTCGGCGGATGTGTTTTTTCATTAAAGCTAGTGACGTGTTTAATTTTTATAAGCTCTATTTTCATATTACCTTTTTAAAGGGAGATGTTACATCAAGTTGTGTTTTGGAAAGGAAAGCCTCAAGAAAAACTTTCAGTGATCAACAGCGGGGGTTCACCAGGTTCCCAGTGATCGTGGACTCCAAGGGTTTCTCTGACTGCAGATGATCCACACGGCCGACACGACATAGTTATTTCATGCTATTCCCTTCGGAATTATCAGACGGTCAGAGGCTTATGAGGTGTGTTCGTGTGTTTTTCTTCCAAGATGTTTTGAGCCTCAGAAACATCACAGGAACCACGATGAGAATTAAGATTAGGATACTTACAGTAGTTATTTTAATGAGGATGAAGATGATGATGAGATAAATGGCCAGGATTGCACATGATGAGGGTGATTATGGTTGATGATGATTTATTATGATGATGATCATGATGATGATGGTGATGGTGATGATGATGATTATGATGATGATGATGACGATGATGATGATGATGGTGATGATGATGATGATGATGGTGATGATGATGATGATGATGATGATGATGATGATGTGGAGTGTGGAGCTAGAGTGTGAAGTGTGAAGTGTGGAGTGTGAAGTGTGGAGTGTTGAGTGTGAAGTGTGATGCGTGAAGTGTGGAGTGTGGAGTGTGAAGTGTGCAGTGTGGAGTGTGGAGTGGTGAGTGTGAGGTGTGGAGTGTGGAATGTGGAGTGTGGAATGTGGAGTGGGAAGTGTGGAGTGTGGAGTGTGGAGTGTGATGTGTGGAGAGTTAAGGGTGGAGTGTGGAGTCTGGAGTGCGGAGTAACACTGGGAAGCGCCTTGTGCAAGATTTGTAGTACAAAGACCAAGGGACGACCCCTTGGCATTGCACCAAGTGCCGCGCCTGCCACGCAAAAGCCACCGGCCCTGCCACGCAAAAGCCACCGGCAGAGCGGCGGAGACCAAGGGACGCCAGGGCGTGCATCTGACCCCTTGCAGAGCACCAAGTGCCGCGCCTGCCACGCAACAGTATAAAGTAGTACTGTGAGGTACTGTGTGGACGCTTTGTAGTTACTGCGAGGTGCTCCAGATGTGTCAAGCAAGAGTGTCCAACAAGAGTGTCTTACAAGAGTGTTTCAGAGTATTGAGAGAGAGAGAGAGAGAGTGTTTTGCCAGAGTGTGCCACAAGAGTGTCGAGCAAGAGTGTCAGGCAAGAGTGTTTCACAAGAGTGTCCCGTAAAAGTGTCCCACAAGAGTGCCCCACAAGAGTGTCAAGCAAGAGTGTCCCACACGATTGTCCGAGAAGAGTGTCAAGCAAGAGTGTTCTGCAAGAGTGGCTTTCAATGCGATCGAGCATCTCCTGTTCGCTTTTCATTGTTCTGTAGGAACCCTTCTTCTACGTGGGCTTTCAAAAAATGCATTCGAGTTCGTGGCTTCTATCAGGTTTTATTGGGAACATGAAATGAGTACAGACATGAGGAACAGTCATGAGTGGCCACAGCACCTCCCAATTCTTTTCCCTTACCATTGTTCCCAGATTGCACAGACTACGGTGAAACTACGTTAAACTGCAAGGCCCACGTGGAACTGATGATTTCTGGATTCTCTTGGTGTTGAGGATTCTACTGGCAGTTGTGAAGCGGCGCCGCTCAACGACCTTCGACTGAAGAGTCAAAAGAGCGATGCTTCCTTTGCAGTTCAGAAAATACTGCATGGAGAGTCTCTCTCTCTTTCTCTCTCTAAACTTGAAACTTGGGCAAGAAAGATAAGGATTGTGACAGATCCGCTTTTCAGGATGACACCACCAGTGGGTATTTTGTTTTTTTTGCCGGACTTACCCAAGGAGTGGTGATTGAGGTCAGACTCGTTTTCACAGTAATGGTTCTCTGAACTCTTCGTCACAAGTTGATCAAATTGGTCCATGTGGCAAGAGGCTCAAGAGAAGATCGGCATAGCATGGTGCATATAGGCAATGGCACGAGCTTCACTGTGGTTTTGGCAAATGAGTCGTCAAAGAAGTGAGCCCCCTCAGACAGTTCCCCAAGCGGCGCCACATGCGTACACTGGCGTAGACATCTCTAGACAAAATAGAGTGGCTATTCGCTATCCTCTCAAAAACAGAGAAACCCTCTGCATATGATGTCCTGACACCAGGGCCAGAGCCAAGCAACCACAAAACACAAGGGAAAAACAGGTTGTCGACAGACTAGGCAAGCTAGGCAAACTTCAGCGCTCTGGGAAGGCCTTTGTCTGGGAAGTGGCTGGAAATGGTGGGATACTGGCTGGAAATGATGGGACGACAGGTTGTTTTGTGTGTGAGGCAGCGATGTGTTTCCCGCCCATTTGTTGGAAACCCCAGTTGGCAATGTCGGCAAACACGTTGTGATGTTACGAAGGCAAGTTGCAGAGCTCTCTCCCAAGCACAGCTTGACAGCTGGATGTGGCACTCAGGTCATCCGGCCACTCATGCCCTGTCCTCAGGGTTGCAATGTCCATATAGGTGGCCTTCAAATCAGAGCATTTCAAAACATGTCAAAGTAAGCATTTGATGTCTTGGGGGGCTATTGAATTATGAAGATGACTGCAGAAAAAACTATTCAAGCTTCCTATTTCAAAAAAGCCAGATGGTTGCCCTGTTGATATTGTTTCTATTGCGTTCGGGTTTTTCTTTGTGCCGTTCAGGTGCTCGGCTGTTTCGGGCTTCGACAGGGGGCCAGCGGCGTCCTTGTGTTGAACGCTCTTTATGGACTTTGCTTAGCCAGATACCAAGTGGGAAGACTGAGGCAGCACCTTGTGACATTTGTGCAGCTTTCTCACGTTCAAATAGGGGTAAACATGAAGAGAAGGAATGAGGACACAAAAGCGGTGACTGGAATTCAGCTCCAGGTTTTGAGGTTTTGGCACCTTTTGGCTTTCAGATTCAATCGCAGCTCCCCAGGTCATTGTTCATGCCTTGCTGTTGGGGGAGGTAGACAAGGAGTGGTCGTAAGTTGGCACGGCCAACTTGCACAACTTTCAGAATGTTGGATTTTTTCAGAAAACTTCTTCCAAGTAGGTCTTCTTACAAGTTCTCGCAACTGCAGAACGTGTACATAGCACTAGCACCGCATTGCCAGGAACCAGTACCTCCACGACATGGCGCATTGCGAGGGATGCGGGGCATGCCCGAAGGCATGCAAAGAGGCCACATGGAGGGAACCATGCCACATGAAGGCGGGGAATGTGTTTCCGAGAAGTCGGAGCTTTCCCAGCTTTGGCTAGGGCCAGGGTTATGCAGTTATGTAATTTCGATATCCAGATATCCACTAAAATGACATCAAATAACTCCCTGTGTGCCACGGCAGTTTGAGCCGTGGCCACTTCAATCCCGTTCCTTCGGAAGGCCCTGCCACGCCAGACAACGGAGTGGGTTGGTCAGCCAGCTTAGCTACGAATGAAATGTGTCAACGTGTGGCCTTCGTGATTGGAAACAGAAGAAATTGCTGTGAGATTTCATGAAACAGAAGACATCTGCAACCAGGTGATGGGATTTCTATGGATTTCTCAACTTTCATAAAAGAAATATTGGCTTTTCATGTAAATCTCATTGCCGGCGCAGGCTGATCCAACTTCTGGATCTGGACATCGGTTGGGGTCATCGACTTTTTGGCTTTGATGATCAGAGTGATCTCATTGCAGGTTCGATGAACGGTGGATGAACGGTGTGAAATCCGTGTCAAAGGTGTCAACATCATTGACATACTTCACATGAGATGTAGAAATGGTTTAAAAAACACGACTTTAAAAGCTATGGAAGTGGTCATTAATTGCATGGACTGACTGCATACAACTCCATGAAACTTGATGAGTTCATAACGCAGCGTTCGCAGCTTGGAGCTTTTGGTACACGAAGCATGGCGATACCATCTTGTTTTGACCTGTGATCTTTTGGAACACTTCAGCTTTCATGTTTTCAGGTATGGTTGCAACACTCTTGTGGAACCTCTCTCTGTTTTCAGGCCTCATTTATGGCGTCTTCATCATCGTCGTTTGTGCGTGGGCCGGCTGAAGCTGTAGCACAATTCATTGGCTTTGTATGGCTCTATGATGCTTAATGTGCAGTGTATCTAGATTCCTGGTGCCGCTTTGTAGCGCCGCAGCAATTCAGAAGCGCACTGACCGTCAAATTTTGCTGTGATCCACATGATCTGCTGACGGTAGGTACACCTTTCATCAGATTAACAGCGTGCGAATGGGTGGCGAATGTTTGAACCTGGCCACAGCCAGTCGCTGGCGCAGAACTCAGAGACGTTGTAATGCTGTCAGTTCTCCAACAAGATATGTCTTCAATGCTGAGTACGTCACGTGTAGATCATAGTACATCAATAAACAAGACGCAGCTGAAGACGAAGAGTTGCACGGTGCACACTGTGATCACTTCTTGTGTTTGATTCACTTTCGTCCCTGTGGTGGATTTCCGTACATCTTTGCACGCTTACCCCAGCTGTGTGTAGCTGACATTAGAAAAGACAGATATGGATAGATATGGGTTAGAGTTGTGAATTTTGAACCGTGGACACCGTGGGCTGGATCTTTTTTCAACGTGTGAGGTTTGTTGCATTTATGTCTGTACCTCAGACGAGTAGTGAAGGGTGAAGAGATGCGCTTTTGCACTGTGCTTACGTTGGTACTCCAAAGTTCTGGCATTGCCGATCACAGTTATATTATGATATGCTACCAGCGCTACCTATTTGACTTCAGAATTGATTCAGCCTTGTACGTCTTGACCTGCCCTTTGCAGAGGCAGGTGGAGACAGACTATATTTCCATAATTATCGATTGAAACCCTTGCCATGCGGACAAAAATTAAGTCGAGATTCGTGAGGAATCTGGAGCTCCTTCTGTATGTGGGCCTGGTCTTGGTGAAACTTCCAATTCTATGCAAGATGCAGGTCTGCAACCCAGTCACACCTACCGAAACATGCGAGCTCTGGCTGTTTCCCTTTGCTAATCCTTTGCTAATCCTTGCCACCAGAATTCTAGATTCACCATACTTATGTGCACATGTCCACTGTGCAGGCAGAATTCATGCCGAATCTTACCATGGAGTGCGATGCCTCAGCTGATCTCAGCTTCAGCTGATAGTGTGTGCGATACGGTGGCGGGCCCGTCAAGTCTCCAACTCTCAGGTGCCAAGTGCAGAGATTTATGTTTCTTCAGCGGGTGGTGTGCAATCTCGTTGCGGTGCGCCGTGGATTTGCGGATGCGCAAGGTGATGGATATTGATAGACATAGATAGATAGGATACTTTGAATATCAGAAGTGGAATTGTTTGCAGTCCTCCAAGGGTCTAAAGATGAAGTCTTTTTTTTGGTGACTTTCGGATCAAGTTTTTGATTCTGCTGATCTGTACTGATTTCTACTGTTGCATTGGAGACTCGTGGAGGCATCGTTGGCCATTTGGGTTTTCTCGAGCTACTCCTTTTCCTTGACCTTTGGCAACGTTTCAATGGATCAGTCCGGGCCGTCAAGCTGTCGGGAATGGCCCATGGCATGGCCCATGGCATGACAGCACTGTCATTTCGACATATTTTAACCAGTTCTCCACAGCCTTCCTAAGGTTTCAAACATTGGCACAGCAAAGAAAAAACAGTGACTGGATTTCTTTTCTTACTTCTTTCTTTCTTCGTTTCTTGCTTCCCTTGGCTATGTTCCACTTTCTTGGTAGATCTTTGTAGTACCTACACACCTCCGGTGCCGAGGCCGGAGTTTGCAGATCAGCTGGAGATGCGCGATGCTGCCTTCACAGGGCGCTTTGGCCAAAACTGCAGTTTGACATAGACTAACGTGACTAACAGACTAACACTTTTCAGGGTGCCACCGGTGCTGCTTCTCATCTGCTGATCTGTTTGATTCTACTTGATCTTTGCCCTACTCTTGCCCGCTTGCTGGGATAGCGTCACCTGGCTTCACGGTATCAAGTGTAGCAAATCCTTCTTGATCCTGGAGTCTTCGTGATGGTCTTGCAATATGTTGCAATATGTTGCAATATGTTACAACATGTTGTCCTTGTTCTTGTTGCTTCTTTGCTGTTTTTTTTTGTGCCCTGGTCGCTTCGCCGAGGAAGGTGCCGGATCTGGGCCCAGCTCCACTTGGCAGCATGGGTGGTCGACAGTCGCTCCCCTAGTGGAGTCTCTTCATAGAGTCCACGAAAGAAAACAGGAGGATGGTGAAGACAATCGGAACAAAGATCACAACATATCACAACTGAATGAGCTGGATTGTCGGAAAGAGATGCTGCTCTGACATGTAGAGAACTGTGAATAATTGTGATGGAGATATCAGCTAAACTTAGAGCGGAGCATATGCTTCAATTACTTCAATGACCAATTGGAACCTGTGTGATCTAAAGTGATCCAAAGTGATCTATTTCGAGACCGAGTCTCAGGTCCTTTGCGCCACCACCATACCAGCGCACTTCTTAAAGCCAGTTGACAGAACAGAGTCCTACATGACAGGAGTCATAGCTCCTCAACGTGATCTGAAAGCTAAAAGGAGTTCTACAGAGCTGTGTCGTGAGCCTCATTCCATCCTTGTGATCGGAAGCCAAGGACCAGACAAAGCTTAGCCCCTCCACAATCAGCACCGCCAGACTCTGAGAATTGGAACTGCGCTTTCCGGACAACGATAGATCTGGCAACTACTGATTTGGTCATTTCAATGTCGATTTGGAAGCTCTTAGAAGATCCCGCAACTCAAGCATTTCCGTAAGTCACTTGTTTCTTGCGGAGGTTGAGGGTTGCTTTGTGCGGCTTTTTAAGATGAAACTCATGAAACTGTAAAAACAAACACCCTTAAGATACTCAGCCATTGTTCAGCCCTTCAAATTCTCATTTGAATATCCAGCTTTCAGTGCTTCTGAGGCGAAGTCTCAATGCTGGATGCCCAACATGCCAGAAACGGTTTGTCCAACCAAGCGATCCATCGCAGTCTACTGTGCCAAGACACAGAAACAATGTAAACAAAAAGGATAAACAACAGGATGTTTCAGGATGTTCCCTTAAGATACTCAGCCAAGATACAGAAACAATGAAACACATGAAAAAAAGAGGATGATCTTTGCAGCAGCACCACGTGTTGCGATTTCGAAACAGTTCGCGGTAAACTCCCGAGGCGGCACCTGGACGCCTGGCACCTGGTAGCCGCTGCTAGCCGTTTTCCAACTGAAGTGACATCACTGACATACATTTGAAAGATCATGGAAAGGATCTAAAATCGAACTGATGATCTGATCATTTGGATCTAAAGGTCATCTATATCTTGAGTGCGTATCAGAGAGCGGAAGTATTGAAATGCTTCGTTCAGGGAGGAACCGGGAATTTCACCGCGACGACTGAGGTTCCCAAGTGGGAGGCCGCACCTCATACCACATTGGCAACATGGCCCGTGCTGGGTCTTCCATGGTCTCCAGTACCTCTGGCGTTGGAGACTTAGAATGAAGATAACGTGATGATGATGATGATGATGATGGTCATGATGGTGGTGGTGATGATGATGGTGGTGGTGATGATGGTGATGTACCAGTACATCGCAAGGAAAGGGAAGAGCTGAGAAAGACACGCGAAGGAACATGATGGAACCTCGTGCAACACCAATGAAGACTTGACAAAGTTGAGGCTTGGAGACATCCTCCCGTATAGATCCTTTTCGCCTACCTATTCCAATCGATTCCATTACCATCGTTGAATCGCTGTGTTGTCCATGCAGTTTCCACAGTTTCCAAGGATCCTGAGACTCAAGCGTTGATCAAACCTCCGCTGCACGTCTTCTGATCGCGGGCTCGAGACAATGCTGCCAGGGCAGAGAAGGAGGTGGAGGCACAAAGCCCACGCCATTCAAAAAAAAACAAAGGCAGGTACAAAGGCAGGTGCCCTACTAGTATAGTTCAACATGTAACGAAATATTTAACAAAGTACTGAATGAAGTACTTGACAAGGTACTTCACTGTACTTCAGATTGTGGCGCTGTCTGGACTAGCACTTTCGAGTTGAGTCCTCGTAGCTGAACCAGGACACTTAGGCAATTGCGGCGATGAAATGTCAACTTGGAGAGTACTCTTGATTTGTGGATAGTTGTGGGTTTCCTAGAATAGGGGGTACCCATGCCCAAAATGGATGGCTTATAACTTATAATGGAAAATCTTAGAAAAAATCATGATTTGGAGGTACCTGGGTACCTCCCATTTTTGGAAACCACCATTTGTGGTGATTTGGAATACTGTAGAGTCGTTGTTTGTGCCACCGGTGGATCTCTGCCATACCTTCTGCCAAAGATCGCCTGTCCATGGCCGGCCATGTCTCTGTCAATGAAGTAGAGACCAGCTGCACTCGGCGCTTGTAAAAAACATGTGAAACAACGTTTTAATGATAGATTCACAACAAAAAGCGTTGAGGAAACCATTCATGTTTGAGTAGACAGAGCATCCTTTTGGAACTCTTCTTTGGTGATCAATCACAGTGGGAATATTTGCAGACTTGCACAAGAGGTCTTCAAGTCGCATAGAAATCGTAATGCTTGGACAGGGCATGGAAACCAGAAACCGGTCTACACTGTATATATACGTCAGTGCAGTACATAGTAAGTATCTATTAGACTTATTAGATACTCCGTGATATTCCTAAAATCTCGTAATCTCGTACTTTCCAATCTGCAGAAGTGTGGCTGAAAGACTTCCTTTTGCAAGCCACGAGTGGCCCAATGAATTCATAGGCAGTTAAGAGCTGCCTCCTGGTCAAAACACTGGCGCAATTTGCGCATGTTGCGCGGAGCCAATGATAGCGAGGAAAATTATGATTTTATTATGATTTCAATGACAACAGGGCAATGACAACAAGGGTCATGATCTCATTCCGTTTCCCTTTCTTTCAAGCCCCACCACGATGGCATTGAGCCACCGGTTTGTGCCAAAACCTTATGTGCCACCATACGAAAACGAAAGAAACAGCTTTGCCACCTCTGGATCAAAACCCCTTGGTGGGTTTAAAGTTTAACTGGATCAAGTTTAGCTGTAGACAGTCCTTGCCCAGCGCTTGTTTCCCAAGGCACTGTCTTCTGGCGTTGTACTTCAATTCATATTCATAATTTTGAATCTTGCAGTCAGATAATTCCATCCAAGTCCAGGATGTTCTTTGTTTCCTACACACTGAGATGCCATTGTTATTTCAGAGGTGGCTCAACAAACGCGTTTTTAGTTTGAGACATGTCTCCACATGTCTCCTGTCTTGTGTTCACTCAATATATTTGATGAAGTGGGTGACGCGGCTCGCGGTCGGCCGGCCAGGATCCATGGAAGGAACAGATGCCAAGGTGGTGAATGGAGAGGAATATGTGATGGCTACCAAAAGAGACAGCCCAACTTTCATAAGTGGGCACGACCTGCCTATGAACAAGGAGCGGAAGAGGTGCAGAGCGCAGGGAAAATAATGATAAATAGAACTGGGACGGGTTCATTTTTTTTTTGGGCGAAGCGCGCAAATAGCGGAAATTCGTCCATCAGCACCAGGTCATTCCAACAGGGTCTTAGTACGCAAAATGTAAATCGCGTAGTTGCCTTTGACATCCTTTGACTTTGTATTGTTGTTTCGCCATCTTGCTGTGGAAAGGTATTGGCAGGCCGGAATCGCCAATCGCATGGAACTTCGCAGTTAACTACCCCCCCCCCCGGCGTTTTGACAAACAATTTTGCCGGGGCTCAACCCCTCCGGGGACATCGACACCATATCGTCGCCGTCAGCATCATTAGCACCATCAGACTCTCTACTTCGTATCTCCCAATTCCTCACACACGCTCTTTCACCACACCTTCCTCCTCCCTTTACCACTCTTTACCTTCCGACCTTTACCGTCCCTGCTAGCTTTCGCCCCTTTCCCCTTGTGAAGTGCAAAACTGTACAGAGAGGTGAACCGCACTGATTTTGAAATTATTTCAGATAGTATTTGGTGCTGACAGGAGAAGAAAGTGAAGCTTGTTGTAGGCTTAGTGTCCACGCGGTGGACTCAGCGCACCGCCCCCTAGTGTGCGGTGTTAGCTGCTTGGGGTGCTTGGTGTAGGCGGTTTGGAAATGGTGGCTTGGTATGTTTATATTTACCCTGAAAGTCCAATGTTGATGTTTACCTACGCATTTCACTAATGTCGAAGTTTACGTACGCATTTGTGTAATGTCGATGTTTACCCTTGAGACATGAGGTGCAGCAAATTTTTTAACGTTTTGTACTGCCGGATCTTTATCTTCGACCTGCTTCATTAGTCAAATTATGTCAAACTCATATGCGATATCACTTTGAATCACATTTGACATGGATTTTCCAAAAGGATTTTGTTTGCATGAGAGCGGGCGCTTTGCCTTAGATGCCCCCAAACTCAATCTTGAAAAGACACCACTGGAGAGGTGTTTTCACGAAGGCCAACGAATTTGGATGCGGACGGCATCTGACCGGACTAGTTAAACAAACAAGAAAAAGACATAAAACCAGAATTCTAGTGGTGGCATGGGGTTGCTCTTTTCCTCGGATAAACATCGCATTTCACGGGTATAGCTGCTGCTGCTGCTGCTGATCTTCCAAGTCATCAACCCCATACGTTTTACAATTGACGGATCTTTTATGTTATTGGAACCTTGTTGTACGCGGCCTGACTTTTCAACCATCATCGACATGAAAATCCTACCAGCAACCTGCACTAAAGGTTGCACAGCAAGAACTTTTTTTTTTACGGATATGATTGGACAAATAGATAGATATATGTATATATGTAACGTAATAATTATATATATAAATAAATGAGATATATATATGTATGTGTTTATATATATATATAAACATGTATGTATATATATATGTTGTATGTATATAAATATATATACATATGTATGCTATATATATATTATAGTTTAACATGTATGTATATACATATATGTATATAATATATATATATGTATGCATGTTGTATATATATATATATACATATGTATGTTATATATTATATATATAGATAATATGTATGTATATACATATATGTATAATATATATATGTATGTATGTATGTATGTATGCATGCACGTATGTATGTATGTATGTATGTATGTAATTAATGTATGTATGTATGTAATTAATGTATTAATGTATTAATGTATGTATGTATGTATGTATGTAATGTATGTAATATATGTAATGTATGTAATGCATGTAATGTATGTAATGTATGTAATGTATGTAATGTATGTAATGTATGTAATGTATGTAATGTATGTAATGTATGTAATGTATGTAATGGATGTAATGGATGTAATGGATGTAATGGATGTAATGGATGTAATGGATGTAATGGATGTAATGTAATGTAATGTATGTAATGTATGTAATGTATGTAATGTAATGTATGTAATGTATGTAATGTATGTAATGTAATGTATGTAATGTATGTAATGTATGTAATGTATGTAATGTATGTAATGTATGTAATGTATGTAATGTATGTAATGTATGTATGTATGTATGTATGTATGTATGTAAGGAATGTATGTATGTATGTATGTATGTTTGTATGTTATATATACACATATATATATATATGTATACATGTATGTATGTCTGTCCGTCCGTCCGTCTGTTCTGACTAGTTCTGAATTGAGGTCGGAAGGCACGATGAAGATCGCAAGATGCTCCGCACTTAGGGCGCTGAGTTTTAGCGTACAATCTCTTTGAGAGGGCATACTCAGTCACCAGGAAGAGAAGAAAATCCACAATGAGAAGAAGATCAGGGAGGATCAAGAGCGGAAGGTCAAGGAAGATCAAGAACGCAAAGCCAAAGTGCACTCTTCCAATCAAGCCTCTAGTTGCTCAACCCAGTTGGGGCCTTTCTTTCTGTGTCTCTTTGTCTGATTGAGTTGTTGTGCCATGGTTAAGGCCAGATTCACTTTTTCTTGCTTTGAAATTCCTTGAAATTATTTGAAGTTAGTTGAAGTCTCCGTGCTGGTGACAAAACAGATTAAGAAGGATCAACTCGTAGGGAAGTGAGCTGCCGGAAATGCCAGGTGCTGTTCTTCCAACAGATCCTGCCACTTTAATTGCAGCTTCTAGCCTTAGAAACTGCAATTACAGTGGCAGGAGCCAGCTGGGGATGTTGAGTGGGTGACCCAGTTTGTGCAAGCCAAGGTTTGGTTGTGAACACCTGCAGTTACAGACATGAATCATCTCAAACGCAATGTTTCAGAATTGTTTCAGAATAACATCAGAGTGGTTTCAATCTCGCCTGCGCGGTAAGGGCCGAACAGCCCACAGCCAGCGAGACCCAGCAGTCACACACCACCAGCGCCACCGCCAGCCGCAGCAACCTCGGCAGCTGCACAAAGCGCGCCAGTACAAGCTACACCGGCGCCGTCTCGACCAAAGGGCGGCAGTGTGTGGGACAAGCCACCAACCTTTGCAAAAACCACTGATCCAACGCCTGCAGAGTCGGTGTATTTTAATCATCGACTCTGCAGGCGTTGGATCAGTGGTTTTTGCAAAGGTTGGTGGCTTGTCCCACACAAGGCCTTTTTCTAACTGACAGAGGAGCACGGAGAAAGTGTTGTAAAGGGGAGAAAAATTGCCTTCATAGAAAAGATTGAAATCAGAGCTGCAATTCAGCAAAGAAGCAGCGACAACCGTGAACAAACCAACTCACTTAGACATTGCTGGCTTTCCGATCACTGCTTTGTTCAGCACTCACGCTGGCACCTGGCATTCTGATTTTCGTTAGGACTGGTTGCAGAACAAACTCAGTTGTGTTGAGTTTGGAGTCTTCGTCGGTGCAAGTCCAGACTCAGGTGGGTTTTGCCAGACTCTGGGGACTGTAGTCAGAAAGTGTGAGTCATTGGTAGACTGTCCCGATCTCCCAGGTTACTTTCAATAGGCAAGAATTGGGCTCCCAAAAGGCCCCAGCATAGCGAGTGAGTATAGTCCCACAGACAAACTCTATCGTTGGTCAAGACTGTGCACCACAAGAGAGAAAAACATGACTACTACACAAATATCAGAATCCGTTGGGGTCTTCAACTGGATGCTTCCCAGTTGCAGTCATCATTTCCGATCAGTCCATCTGATATTTTTGACCCTTCAAGATACTTCCATACATCAGCCTCGCCTCTTTTTTTTGTACTCTTGGTTGCGTTTTCAACCCACAGAGTTCCATCATTTTAGACAAAACCATCCCCTAAATTCTGCCCAACAATACGCCGTGGATCCATTTTTCTCCTTGGCCAAACCGACTCGCAAGGCCAAAAGCACGGTCGATCTTCCGAAAACACCGGAAATAGCGTGCAGTGGAAAAATGGTGAAATCATACCGAGTCATACCATTGTCATATGAGTCATAGCTACGAGTGGTGTGTTCCGTTGATATTTCCATTTGTCAAGGGTATTGTCAGCTATCCCATGTGTAAGCCTTAAAGAAGTATCGAAGGTATCCATGAATACTGGTACCAAGGTTTACCACATGGGCCAAAAGGGCCCTTCAGGAAGTCGGTATCATCTCAACATCTCGGTGGCCTAAAAACTTGACAGCCACTCAATGTGACTCACTGTGATTTTGCAGGAAGTTCAACGTTCAGTTCATGTTCAGTTCATGTTCAGTTCATGTTCAGTTCATGTTCAGTTCATGCTTGTGGTGTTGTGACATGTTTCGTGGTGATTCGTGGTGTTGTGAAATGCTGTGCTCGTGACGGCCTCGATTCATGACGTGTCCGCCATAGCTGCAGCTCATAGAAAGTGCCACATGGAGCCTTGCTCAATGTACCGCTTGCGATGTGGGACAGAGTCAAACGAGTCAAACAAACGCAAGCAGAATCCCTCAACGATGCCAGAGAAGTAAACCCTGCTGAAAGGGCTCGAACATGCTCACAAAAATCACACAAGAATCACTAAGCTATCAAACTTCGCCTCTAAACATGAAATCCCTTGACATAGTTGCGGCCACTCGTAGAAATCTCCGCCATCTGCATAGCTTCCGGCATGGCTGGTGGTGCACATGGGAATGTTGCCGGGCTCCCATCATCGTTCCAACTCTGGGAATGGCCTGGGATGCCTGGGATCTGTCACGAATTGCCCCACCTCGAATTGCCTTTAAGTTCCTTTAAGTTCCTTTAAGTTCCTTTTGCCTTTTTGAATCCCCAACCGATCTTTTTGGAAGTCCGACATCGGATCACATCGGATCCCTTCACCTGCGAAGGCCCTGGCCGGTGATGGCTCTTTGTCGCCGAAGTCACCGGGGCGGGGCATCCCAGACTGATTCGACTTGATTGGAAACGTGGAAAATCAAGTCGAGACTATATGATAGGAACCTTTTAGACTATGGGCTACCCTATTTCATCTATTTACAAACAATGTCATATATGGTACCCTATTTTATACTATTTGAAGGTGCCCCCAATACTTTTTGATTCCTCATGTTTCTGAAGCGGAAATGCTGCACAGCTTGACCTCGTTGAGGAGACGCGCTTGCTTGAATCGTGTGCAGCCATTTGTCATCGGTATTGCCGGTGGCACGGCCAGTGGGAAGACCACGGCTCGGGGGCCAAAAATCAACGACATGTAGGCTGACTAGGACATGACTCTGCTTCGAAAATGGGAAAAACTTGAAGAACCAAGAATAATTACACACACACATATATATAATGTTCACCTCAATTGCTTATTCTAATGATTTTTAAACTTGAAAAAATGCAAAAAAGGAAGACACATGGAAAATCAAAAAAGAAACTTCAAAACTGAAAAAAAAGGAAGCAAAATGAATGGGGAAAAAAAGGAACGTCAAAAAGGGGAAAAAATGGGGAAAAAATGGGGAAAAATGGGGAAAAATGGGAAAAACATGGATTTGTCCATTTGCATTTTTTTGCATGTATTTTGCTTTTTCGATTTTTGTTTGTTTTTTTGTTTTTTTCCAGGCAAAAAAAAACACAATAAAAGCAAAAAAACAGCAAATCGAGAAAACAAAAAATGCAAACAAAATGCAAATGGACAAATCCATTTTTTCCCATTTTTGTATTTCCTTTTTTCCCCCTTTTTTCCCCTTTTATTTTGCTTTTGTGTTTTTTTGGATTTTGCTGATTTGCTTTTTGGTTTTTCCTTTTTTTGCTTTTGTTGCGTTTTTTTTTCAAGTTTTAAAAAGTTAGAATAAGCTGTGGTCTGGCCGACATAATATATATATATATTCATTTCATAATCATATATCATTTATATTTATATATATACACATACAGTTATACATACATATATATATATAATATATATATATATATAATATAATTACTGAACATTGTCAGAAATCGAACGTCACGTTGGATTCCAGGAGATGCGGCAAGGATTTCGAATTGTCGTTCCAGGACCGTTGCAGAGCTGAGGTCTGCACCCAATTGATGCAGGCCTTGGGCGGGCAGCGCGTGGCTCTCATCAGCCTTGATGAGTTCTACAGGGATCTCACCGAGGAGGACACAATTCATGGGCTAAACGTGTTATGCACTGTTTGTAGATTACAACGAATCTGATTGTTTGCAGATTTGCAAGATTGGATGTGGAAAGATGCTCGACCATGTTCGACAAAAACTCGGAGCCGCAACTCCTTGCAACTCCTTGCAACTCCTTGCAACTTGCCACGACAGAGCCCCCTCCCAAAGTTTGAGGTGTAGGTTTTGAGCGGCACCCCAATTGTGGAAATTTGTGGCCGCCCGGGCAGAAAGACTTTGGGGTCGCATTGATGCCATTGCCTGTGCCAGGAGTGCTCCAGCATCACTGATGTGAACTTTGACGAGCCTGAGGCAGAGTGAGAAGATTTGAGAGTGAGCAATCAGCCATTTGACGGGTTTAAGGTCTTAAATATTCTTAAATCCATCTTGGCGGAAGTGATGCTGCGCCGCCGTTCCACGCCAAGAAAATGCCATGCCAGGCTTTCGACGTGAAGTGCCTTGCCAACTGTTTGGACACGCTCAGCAAAGGGGAATTAGCGCAGGTGCGCAGGTTCGGGTGGCAGGGATAGTCCACAACGCGTTCAACGCGCCATCTTTGCATCGCATAAAATGCGAATCAAATGAATCATGGTGACAGAGATGAAGCGAAGAAGCGGGTTCAGTTGAACAGCAACGAGATAAATATAGATCTGGTAGTGTGTAGGTTGATCACGTTGATCAGTGTTTGATCATCAGTTTTCGCAGCAGCTATCGCAGGTCCCAGTCTACGACTTCGTCACTTCACGACGGTCAACGACTTCTGTTCGGAACGTGGCACCTGCAGACGTTGTGCCTTGGTGCAGCTCGGGCGACATCATGTGATGCATGTGATGCATATGTTGTGGTTGAGAAATATGGCACTAAAATACGCTAGAGTCTAGAGCGCACTAGAATGCATTAGAATTAGAAGATATGAAAAACATCAAGTCAACGACAGTCAACGCACTTCTTTTTTGTTTCAATATCATTTAAGTCGATCATTCCGACATCCCCACGTCACAAGGTGATTTTGGAGGGAATCCTGGTACTTCATCTTCCAGAGACACTTGGAATGTGGAGTGGGACGCATCGGAATGGCCTTCGGATGGCTTTTCAAGCAACGATGAATCCGAAAAGTTTGTTGAAACACTAAAAAAATATGAACATCCGCTTTATAATGTTTGAATAATTGCTTTTTCACAAAAAGGGCTTTCTCACCTGCTCATGGTTCGCCTGAATGTTGTGATCAGAATTGTCAGATGATCTGTCTTACTGAACTTAGCTCGCCCCACATTGTCAGATCTCGAGTGTCAGGACATTGCGGCGATGTCACATGAAGATCTTCGTTGACACTGATGATGATGTGCGCCTTGCCCGTCGCATCCGGCGCGACACAGTAGAGCGTGACTCGGCACGTACGACTTGAAACAAACTTGAAAGATCTTTACAGCATCAGCAAGATAGCACCCAGTTCAGCTGAAACAAAGAAAAATAGCAGAAAAAAAAGAAAAAGCCAAGATTCTCCATGCTCAGAATTTCAGCATAAAGAGCTCAGAGCATGGCAAAAGCATCGAGGCATAGGGATGTCTTCAGTGCCAAGTCCCATGTTTCCCTCCAGGCGGTCGGGACGTCGAGGCTGTGATCCAACAATACACTCGTTTCGTGAAACCCTCCTTCGAGAAATACATTTTGCCCAGCCGGAACAATGCAGATGCTTGGCACAGGGAGGTTGCCCAGCCGTGAACTCGAAGGTCCCCTTTTTTTGGGACAAAAAAAAATGAGGTTCATGTTCTTCCAAAGGGAGTTTTCCTCATGGGGGTACCCCTTAGTTATCCATCCAATTGGGGGTTGTTTCAATGTCTGGGCACGAGGATGTTGTTGTCCCGTGGCGCGAGAGCAACACTGTGGCAGTTGACCTGATCACCCAGCACATCCGGACCAAACTAGGCCACTTTTTTCGGTGTGTTTGCTTGAAGTGGGCCACTGGATGTTGCTGAAGTAGACAGGCAGTGGAAAAGCGGTGTCTTCAAGAGGATGTTAACTCAAGTGGAACTATGCATTTCCATTTAACTCACGTTCTTCTTCTTCCTCCCATGAAGATCTGTGAAGATCTGTGAAGATCTGTGAAGGTATGCATGAGCTTCTCCGCATTTTCACAAACCTCTACGTCATGCCCTCGACCATGCAGACTCGTGGGATGCATACAAAGATCCGATCACGAGATACTCCTCGACAGGACAGATGCCTTGCGTGCACCGTGAACCTCCGAAGATCTCTGATTTTTTCAATTCTTTTCTATGTCTTGATACAAATGAGTACAACGGGTCACTAATTCGTACTGCAACCAGCCCAACAGAAACGGCCAGATGGCAGGAGTTTGCCTTCTATGCGGACCGGATCATTCGCCTTGTGGTTGAAGCAGCCTTGGGACATTTGCCCTTCCAAGAGACTGAAGTGACAACACCGGTGGGCGAGCCATACCAAGGAGGGGGGGTCAAAGTTCAGCTGATATTTGATCAACTTGGAGGTTTCCTAAGTCATGGGGGTACCCAAACTTATATATGGTCTACAATGGAAAATCCCAATCTAAAACTTAAAACGAATGATTTTGGGGGTACCCCCATGACTTAGAAATCCAGTTGAGACATGTCATTCCAGTCATTCCAGCATCTGTTGGAAGTGTTGGAAGTGTTGGAATCCGACACAGTCACTGGCATCACTGGCACAGGCGTGGAATTCAGCCGCAAAATCTGTGGCGTCTCCATCATTCGTTCCGGAGAGGCCATGGAAAACGCATTGCGTACATGCTGCAGTGGGGTGCCTGTGGCTTCATTGGCTTCATTACTCATTTCATCTCAATTCATTGGTGACGGAAGAGAAGCGATTTGAATGGGCTCTCGGAGCGGCTCTCACGTTGATCATCGTTGATCTTCTTGTGGCTTTCTGTGCTCTGTTTCCATCTGTTTCCATCTGTTTCATGTTCGGCCACATCAGTCTTTGATGTTTATTGCTTGGACTCAAAGGTTTATTTGCAGTGACCAACATCTCTGGCTGCGGAACGAAAGGATACGAAAGGCAGACTCCTTGTGATCCTAAGGTGAAGATTGGGAAGATCCTAATCGATCAAGTCGGTAAAGAAAGGTGCACTGTGCTGTTGCTTGCTGTTGCTTTGTGGTCGATGGTCCTTGGAAGTTGAGGAAGGCGAAACTTTGATTCCAACTCTCTGATTTGTTGCCTGACAGTGTAAAGACAAGGCAGTTCCTTATGTTCCTTTCAAGTGCTTGTCTTCATCCGTGTGAATTTTCTGCATTGCAGGAGCTTGCATGTGCTTTATGAGAAGTTGCCTTATGACATTGCGGAGCGACATGTGCTTCTCATGGATCCCATTCTGGCCAGTGGAAACACCTGCGCCGCTGCCATCGAGGTGCCATTCGAACATTTCGAACGATAGTCCACCCTTGGTGCCACAAGATCTCCCACATTATTGGACCATGAACCATGGTCTGACCCGGTGTCCACTGAAAGGTTGTGATACTATCATGAAGTCTGCACGTCCCAGGTGTTGACAAAGTTGCGGAACGTCAAGGAGGAGAAGATTATTCTGATCACTATCATCGCGGCTGCCAAAGGCTGTCAGTGAGATGTTGGAGTCACTGAAATCTCTCCATCTTCGAGTACACATTTTGTACACATTTTGCAATATTTTGCAATACTCAATCTGATATATCTGATGTCTAAGTTCTGTGGTGCTTTCAAGATTTCCAAACATCTCCATGCTTTTGCTTCTGGAGGCATCAACTTGGTGTGCAGCCGCTTCCCAGGCGTAAAGGTGCCGCTGCCACAAGTGTGGCACCATTGGTTTGTGTTCTGTTTTTTTGTTTGCATTCTTTTTGACCAAGTTTGCGCTTTCAATGTGTTTTCGACATACCACACCACGTTTCATCACAGAAGTTTGTAAAATTGCCCAAGTAGCAAGATGTAAGTTAGTGCTGGAATGCATGACTCAGTTCGCAAGAAGACAAGATTCTGAAACAAGACATTTCCAGATTCCCATAATGTTTTTCGGCGTTGCAGAAAGCTTGGTCCTTCTCACTTCAGATGTGCGCAGGTCATTACCACTGAGATTGATGAGGGCATGGATGACAACGGAATTGTCTTGCCCGGTATCGGAAACTTTGGGGAAGCTTGGCAGCGATGCAGCCAGATGCAGCCAGATGCAGCCAGATGCGGTGACTGGCACCGACCAAGGATAGATATTTTGGCACATGTTGTGCGGCGGATGAGCCCAGTCGACTTCTCACTGGAAATTTGCCGCTTCGGCCGAATTTCTTGCGGCTCTCTCGTCATCTCTGGTCTTAGTTGGCCATGGGTATCCACTGCTGTCCTCTGTTCATCCTTTTCATCCTTTGCCTCACTTCACATGTTCCTTTTTGCCATATTTTATGCCATCTCTTCAAGACACTTTTGTCCCCGTCTTGTCAACCATTTGCCATCGCATTGTCTGAATTGGAGTTGATTGGATGGACACAATGGATGAACACTGAATTAATCAGAGTCAGATGTCATTCTTTTTTTCACCGTTCAGATGTCAAACTGTTGTTGGGTTGTCGCAGCGCAGCTCACTGCAGCTGCAGGTCCTCTGTGAACAGCGAGAGGGCATCTGAGACAAGTACCAGCAATGGCAATAACTGCGCGCAGTAATTCAAACCTTGTGAGACATGGATGCTGGTGGCATTAGATGATTTAGACTTAGACGGTGACATTCCTCATTGTTTTGTTCTCTCACATCAGAATTCACATCAGAACTACATCTTTTTCTTATCCATCTCTCCTTTTCTGAGTGTTGATCTCCGTAAAAGTAGCCAAGTCCAAGTACCTGTGCGAATGAATTATTGTTTTGGAAATGTATAGACTTCATTGTAGAGTTCATTCTGAAA